GGGGGGGGGGGGGGGAGGAGGGGAAACCCAGGGTCTCCCCCACAGCTGACAGCTGAGCTGAAGCAGTGCAGGGGGGCCCAGCGTGTTCTCCAGCAAACCCGGAAGTACTTCTGGGTTCACTGCCGAGCATGTGGAGGGCCTCCCCTCCTCTGGGACACTCTATCTGCCCCAGCATCACAGTGTTCACAAGCTATGCCTGGTACCTCCAGGTACGTAGAAAAACATTTAAAGCTGTGTCTATGTTTGAATTGCTGATTCTCTGAATCAGCATTGAATCTTCAGATTTGGCCAAATCAAAATCGAGGACAGTGATCTGAATCAATGATTCAGATCACTGTCCCTGATTCGGACCGAATCTGAACCAAATAGGGCCCGCTTCGCACACCCCTATGAACTAGCACATCATCTGAACCTCAGAAGGTGATCTAGTCCAGCCTCCTAGCCAGTCATCTTAGCTTGTATTTGTGCAATGTGATTTCTGTCTCAAGTGCACTCATCCTCACTGCATCTGGACAAGTGCCAAATCCTACACTTGGGCTGGAGCAGACCATCAGGATAATACCGACGATACTTTTAGAATCGCATTGGCTTTGAGTCGATGCTCATCTCTGTCTCTTCCCATTATGTGCAGCATTAGTAAAGCCAGCCAATTTCCCTTTCTAGCCACCAATTCCTGCTTCACATCCGGTGGTTTACTGGGCACTGAGGTCATAGCCCAGCCCCCCTCTTTTCTCATCTTGAGGCTGTGCCCACACATTCTTCTAAGTACCAGGCAGGGACCCTGTATGAAGCAGCTGTGACCAGTTTTCCTTTGCTTATTAATTCTTCATACCACACCTTCTTGAAAGCATTCTCTCACTCCTGTACTCCCTTTCCCTGAGGCAGCTCCCTTAAGGTCTGGTGGTGCAGGAGGCTCCTAAGCTTGTCCAAGGGAAATTTATAGGCCTCCTTCTCCAAAGATGACCTCCACTGGGAGCAATATCCTCTTCAGCTTTACTGCCCTCCCTAAGCTCCATTCCATGCAGTCACTCTAATGCCAGGCCTGGGCCACCAGGTCTCCTGCTGCGGTAAGGGGTCTACCTACATTGCAGGGGGACGTACTAATTTTCTTAGGTTGATTATGGCATAAAATTCTAATTCCGCAGTCATTTCACAGTGGCCCTGCCCCTTCACGCTGATTGGCATAGAGGCCCCGCCCTTCTCTGCTGATTGCGGGGGGAGGGGGGGTGGCGCCGGGGCAGGGATGAGGGGGCAGCCACCATCTTGACTGCTGGCTGTCCTTTGCACAGACCTGCCCCTTGGCGCTGATTGGTGGAGAGGCCCCAGAGCAGGGCAGGAGGGAAAAGGACATGCCATCTTGTCTGCTGCCCTTTGTGCTCTCCACTGGGGAGCCTGCATTTATTTTATTAAGTTTTTTTGTTGTCAATTTCTCGGTTTCCACAAAATCTGGCAAACTGTGAATTAAAGTAGGCCCCTAATTATAGGAGATTATAGGTGTTTGCCAACCCTCAGATCCTGAGCTTTCTTCTTCCATAGTTGGGGTTGGCCAACTGAGTCACTGGATTGGGCCATAAAGCAAGTACTTAATTAACTGTTCATCTTCCCAACTCTGATTCAATACAAAGCAAGAGAGTTTTAGGGAAATATTTACTCAATTCCTATTCAAGTTCTACTATGAATCAGTGAATCTAAAGATTCACCACTAAACTCTCAAGTTCTTTAGTTTCTTCGTTGCCATACTTCACGATCATATGCTCAATATTACAGGAAGGAATTTTGTGTGTATACCTTAAATAAGAGGTGACAAACCTACAGCTCAGGTGCCACATGCTTGTGCAGATTGGGGAGGGGACAGATAGGCAGGGAGCAAAAAAGTAGAGCACCAAATCAGGCAGGAAACAGAGCTCCAGATTGGGCAGGAGAAAAGGGATTGGAGTGTCACTCAGGTAGGGTGCAGGGCTAATTTGTGGCATTCCTGCTAAAAAAGGTTGGCTCCCACTGGCTTAAATCAACTGGTAATATAATATGGCTTGATTTGTAAGAGCCTTAGAACCCATGACAAGTTAACCACACCGCACTGAATGCTAGCTTAATGCATCTTTTTGAAAGGAATACTGTGCTGCCTGTCAAGAATTTTAAAGTCAGTAACTGCTACAAATACAGCTAACTTCTCTGCTTGTGATGACTTATTAATAGTTCTCCATTCAAAGTCCCTAATTGACTTGCTCAACCTCCTTTGAAAAGATTCTCCAACTCTCATGCAAACTTTTTTCTGAAATTTAAGATATAAATTTAAATATATAAAGCCTGCAAAACCTGGAGAATAAAACAAAAACACAGACAAGTTTTCCAAATCATTAAAAAAATATATCACTACATACACAACTTTGATAATATCAACAGATACTTACCTTGTTTAAGTGCAACATTTCCACACTTAGTAACTGCAATCTTGGTGTTATCAATAGGACCTGGAGGATCTGGTACAATAAAAAGAATTATTAGAAATTGAGATTGAAGCAAATATCTAAGCTAATTTTTAAACATGTTCTCTCTTGATATTTCTACTCAAGGGTTTTGCAGATCCCAAGAATTACTTACCACTATCTTTGCCCTTCACAAATCCTTCCCACTCTCTGAACCACTGCATACTTATGCAGTAAAAAGTAGATGGAGATTCTTCTTCTTGGAATGCTCTATTGAGCTGAAAAAACACAGATAGGTCCACTTGTTTTACTTGTTATCAAAATGAAAAAGATCGTTCTACAGCTATCTAACAACTGATAAGTGACAATACAAGAGGAAAACATACTTTTAATGTTCTCTAGGATCAAAGCTTAAACACCTTGTGAATACAGATGCTGGAAGCAGTTACTCTGTTCATCTGGTATTCCTGATCAGTATTTAAAAGTAAATTATTTCATTTGAGAAATTAGGATTTTCTGTCTTCCTTTAAAAAATAAAAGCTTGCTTTAGTTTCGAGTTAGGTCACTAAGGCTCCTGCCATATGATACACATATTACACAATTAACTGGTTAATCACACAATAAATTTATACTGGCCACACCTGCAAAGTAATTATTCCACCATAAAAATATCCATCTAGGTATAAAAAAAAGCTAACCAGCTACAAAGTTAGTGTTTCAAAGCGTGTAACAACTTTATAGCTGGTTTCCATCTTTAATTTAAATATGCTGCAGGGCCCTAACACTGATCTGAAGTACAACCAGTGCAGAGGAATGTAAGGAAAAACTGGGCCCTGCAAGCAGGTCACTTAGCCTACTGGCTTTGGCAGGAGACCTTGCTCCCTGAGGAACCCCTCAGCCAGTTCTCCAAAGCAAAGTTCTTCTAAAAAACAAACAATACAAAATCCCTTGGTCCTTTAACCATCTTCTGCTCTGGCTTCAGCCTAGCAGCCTGGCCCTTCCCTGCAACAAGCTGTTCCCTTCACAGTTTGCTTCCTCCTCTCCTTGCTTACTCTTCTGGAAAAGATCTCAGGGTCACTCCATTTTTACTCAAGTGCCCTACAGCCGGTCTTTCTTAACACGGCTGACTGCTCTTCTTTAAAGGGACAGGATCACCCTGTTACAAACCCATAAGCAAAAGAACCGAGTTATTTTATTTTACTATGTAAATGGGTTTGTAATTCTTAAACAGCCTTGTTTTCTTTAATGGCCTAATGAAAACTAGTAAGAAAATTAGCCCAGCAAAAAAGACTGATTTTATACCTTATTTTTTGTTACTATTTAAAAAGAATGAAAGAGGGTTTTACTCCTACATTTTTACATTAAGAAATTAACATCTGCTTGATTTTCCTAGACAAGTAGAAATAACTAGAAAGGAAGTAAAGTGAGAATGAGTTAAAGATATTTCAAGACTGTTAAAAATTTCAGGCTTGATTGTTTATATGCAACAGTTGGAAGGAACAGATTATTGGTTAATGAACAGCAAGCCCAAACTTGCAATTAAGGGCTCCTAAATTCCATACACCATTTTTGAGTCTTCCAGATCAAAGGAAAAGAAAGTACGAGTAGAATAAAAACAAGAGAAACTTCAGACCTTATTTTATATCATAAAGAAACAACAAAAAGGGACAAAACCCCACTATTCCATAAAGCAGATCACTTTTAAACCCTGTTATCCTAACAACTGGAAATCAAATTCTGCTGCTACTCTTCAATTCAAAAAATTAGCCAAAGGGGAAACAGCTGTATTCTCTTTGATGCCAAGTTTAAATGTCCCAGCTTTTAAAGCACCAATGATACTGACCTCCTGCAGTGTCAGGTAGAGTAACCCTCAGCAACAATCATTCTCTGCAGCAATCTCTACATAGGCCAATTTAAATATAATTCTTTATGCTTGGTATCCTGTCAGTGTTATGGTTTATTGGCAAATATACACCACCAAAGCAAAAGAGTTATGGTATATTAAACTGATAGTTCAGTGTACTAAGACTACAGTGTTAACATGGACAACAAAACAATTTGCAGAATAACTCTCAATCTCAGTGAACAGCATTCAAGTATGGACTGTAACCACACTGAAAGACATGCACGTAGCTGAATATATTGTATGTGTATCATTCTCTGTATTCCACTATTTAGCAATATGGTGCACTATTTCAACAATCAATACAAGAGATACTAATTCTAGAACAAATGTTAAAAGAAGTTTATTCAAAGGGTTTATTAAAAATAAAAAGACCAAGTTCAGGATTTAAAAAAAAGGCTAATGGTTTTGGTTATAGTGTTAACAAAATTCAGTGATACAGTGTGCTGAATAACCACCGAGTTAAAGATTAAACAGAACCCCTAACTCAACTTCCTTTTGTTTGACATAACATAACAGAAGTCAATAAAAGAAAATGAAGACACATGTAGGCTAATCTGAGACAATTTAGTGCTGATTTTTTTTGGTTTAAAAATGATAACTGCACTACATGACTACATGTGTGGTTACTCTACTCAGACTCCCTCAAAGCAGTCTTAGTTCCTTTATAGCTATAAGTTTCTGTATTTTCCATAAATTTGGTGTGACAACTCCTACTTCTGACATTACATTTACATTCAATTATATATGTAAAACCATATTTTATAATCAAGAACAGCTCTTACAATGGAAGTAAAATGGGTCAGGAAGAATCTCTCTCTCTGTACATACCTACCCATAGAAGTACTGAATTAACTATTTCCTAGAACAGTAGTGGTGCACCCAGACCTTTCAAACTTTTCTGTAGTCTGTTGCTGATGCATAGCCATGACTATTCACATGAATCCACCTAATTAGTCAGCCAAAACCACATTAATTATGCCTCTAAAGTTACAGCTCCCGTGTAACAACTGGCAGAGTTGCCACAGGAATATTAGTATAAATGGCAGAAAGTCGTGGGTTTGCTTTTTTTGCATGAACAGATTATTCTGTTAAAATATCACCCATATTATAAAAGAACTTAAGAATCTGGATCTAAATATTGCTTATGAAGAATGTATGGAATGAAGATAGAGTTCAATGAATCAGAATACTGATTACTTTTTTACCCGAACAAACATTTCTAATTCAGTCTTCCGTCTTTTCTCAATTTTCTCAGCCTCTATTTGACAGGTATGACAAACATACAGATGGTTAACAGCTGGTCCTCCTCCATACCTATAATCATAGTAAAACTTCATTAATTTCATGGAAAATAGTTCATATATTCCCTCTATGTCACTACTAGCCACCAAGAATGTCAGTATTGCATTTTGGTTGCTTTTAATGGTGGATTCCACATGCATTTAGCAACATAAGCCAAATTCCTTATTTTTGTTATTATCTTGGATAACCCAGGGCCTGCACCTGTGAAACTACAGCATGGCACAATTCCAAGCTTTAAGAGGGGTGATGAGTTGGACAAGTCTATGATGCACTCCTGTCTCATCACTGAGGCACATGTGCTACTCTCATTTATTTTCAGTACTATTTTGCATTTGATGTCTGAAACATTCTCCTTATTCTGTGCAAACCTAGATTCAGTTTGAATAATTTGTTATTGAGATCTTTTAATACAGACAGTTTGCTACAGGTTTTTTTTAAGACTGATACTACCAAGTAAAAAAAAAGAAACACAGTTAAAGTGCAAAAAACCTCATAGTTATTGAGATACTACATACCATATAAAAAGCACAAAATCTAGGCCCCAAAACTATACTGGAAAAAAACCGCAGATATGACTTATTACTTCTAATAGCAAATATTTTACATGAATAAAACAGAATTACCAGAGAAAGCTGTAAAAAAAATATAAATCAATCTATTTATGGCATTTCTTTCAGATGAGGATTCAAAGAAAAGTGAAGGATGTTACCAATAATAACATTTTTAAAAGCACAGTTCATTCAGCAGGAACAGAGTCACTCTGGTTGCCTTATCACTTATTGTGCTATTTCACTTTTGTTTCATAGAAGTGAACAAGTACTACATGAATTACCTGTAATGGTGATGGATTCTTAACCCCTAAAATCTCCACTCCTGATCCAGTAAAAAAAAACCCGAACTTTTTAAAAAAGAGAAGCAACAGTATCTTTTTAAAAGTCTGTCACCGCATGCCTCAAAGAAGTTATCATTCAGAAGAATGCCCCCTTGACCAGTTCTGACTTTAAAAAGCTAATATACAACCGCTTTATACTTTGTATCACAGAAAGGTATTTAAAATACTTCAACAAGTTCTGACTTAAAAACAGCCTCCTTTCTCTTGGTTATACACTTGGCTCCCTACCACTGATTCCAACATATAAACTTGGTCAATGTCCATTGTTTTATTCATGAATAGATCATTTTTCAATTTCCTCCTTTTAATTTTCACTCCCTGCCAGCTGCTGACGCATGAGGAGTTATCTTTAAGAGGCACTGTTAACAATCAAATATGAAGCAGCCAGCACCACCATCCAGGGGATGGAGTGCAGCATCATGTGAACTGCAAAACTAGAAATATAACCAGGCAGACACTGGGCTGCTTCTGCATGCCTCTTAGCCAATATTAATAATATTTATTACTGCAGAAAGGTCAAGATGAAATATAAGTTATGTGCAAAGGCGTTTTCAGTGCTATCCTTTCCAACAGAATTCACTACTTTAAAGGAGGCAGAGCAACTCTGACAGTCTGACTCTAAGCTTAAGATTTATCTCTGGAAATTTTAACATTCTACTCAGCTGGTATACTCTTTAATTCTACTGGTAGAATATTTACTCTTCAGAGTTTTTTAAACTTAATATAAGTGAGGGTCTTTTGTTTTTCTTTTTAAATCATACACAAAATACAGTGCTTTGAAATGATGAACAGCATTTTTTTTAAATTTAAGAATGCTCTCTTCACTTAGACAAATAAGCACCAGGCTAAAACCCATTATAAGAGGCCTTGGGCTCAAAAGAGAGCTGTATTCAAAGCCTCTGAAGCCAGTATATTTTGTGGTTTAGAACTATTATCATCATGCTACTGAAATTAATTTGAGAGTTTGTTATTTAAGTTACTGAGACACCTTACTGCAGTGAAATAGCCAAATATGTTATTTCACATACACCTCCCTGCTGGTACATGGAAGATCTTAGATTTCAGAGATTTTAGGGTCGGAAGGCACCTATTAGATCATCGAGTTCGACCCCCTGCCCTGGGCAGGAAAGAGTGCTGGGGTCAGATGACCCTAGCCAGGTGTCTGTCCAATCTCCTCTTAAATACCTCCAAGGAAGCAGACAGCACCACCTTCCTTGGAAGCATATTCCATATTTTGACAACCCTCACTGTAAAGAATTTTTTTCTGATGTCCAGTCTAAATTTGCTCTCCTTCAGTTTGTGACCATTGTTTCTAGTTACCCCGATGGGCGCTCTGGTAAACATCGTATCCCCTATTTCCTGATGAGTTTGTAGATGGCCACAAGATTACCTCTCAGCCTTCTCTTGCAGAGGCTGAAGAGATTCACGTCCCTCAAATCGGTCCTCGTATGGTTTTCCCCATAGGCCTTTGACCAGATAGGTGGCCCTCCTCTGAACGCTTTCCAGGTTATCTACATCCCTCCTGAAGTGCAGCACCCAAAACAGGACACAGAACTCCAGCAGTGGCCTGACCAATGCCACATAGAGGGGAAATATCACCTCCCTAGATCTGTTTGTGATGCACCTACTTATGCAAGAAAGAGTGCGGTAAGCTTTACTTATTACTTCATCACACTGGTGACTCGTGTTCATTTTGGAGTCACCCATGACTCCGCGATCCCTTTCCGCAGTTATGCTACTTAGAATGCTACCTCCCTATACTGCTTTTGTATATGCTGTCACTCATCGTTACTTCACATAGAGATGCATTTCTTTAGGTGACGGCCTTAATTGTATCTTACAAGACTGTATTTTAGATTTTCAACTACATTGATCTGTCCACAAATACATCAGACTGAACTAGGTCATATATGCTGCTTGTATGCTTTGGATTTTAAAAATGAAAATGAAATGAAACCATGAACATTCTGCAGAAACTGCAGATGCATTATGAAAACAGGTTCTCTTTAGCACTTCACCCAAAAGACATCATCCCTTCAATCCAGGGGAGAATGTGAGAAAGCCAGCACACGGCTGATCTTTGCCACACTGCTTAATGTGCTACTGGAACATATCTGGATACTGAGGTGACTATAGCCTAAAAGCTAGGGAGGAGTCCATCAAAATGATTTCCTGTCAGAAAAAGCAGAAAGATTTTTATTTTGCCAACGTGTACTGGCTCTTCCCTAAGGAAAAACCCACAATTAAATATTCCAGTTTAGATCACTTGCACAACACTTTTTTTTTTTTTTTTTTTAAACAGACCAAAATATATTTCCAATCAGCTAATAAACCATTAAACTACATTTTCTCCTTCGTGGCCAAGTGCATTACAGAAGTTTAGGCCTCCATTACCAAGAGGCCAGCCTGGGAAGGGATACTGCTTATGCAGCTCAGGTGGAATGAAAGGACAATACAATACAATACAATACAATACAATACAATACAATACAATACAATACACATCAGGAAGTGGAAGCAGGCTGTAACAAGCCTATTTCCACCCCCTTTTCTTATGTTATTACGGCTATCTGTAAATCTTTGGCCTGAGCTTCCATGCTAAGGTGCCTGGAATATCAGAAGTGCAAGAGTCCTCACTGACCTCAACAGGGCTCCAATGCAACTTACATTGCTGCTTTACAAGGTGTTGGGCTTTGCAAGAGTTCCTCTTCCAGGAGGTATTCACACCCAACCTCCAAGAAGAATACACAGTAATTACAGAGAACTCTTAGAAATAACCTTTTTCAAAGCAATTCTGGCAGCTGACAGACTAAGGAGACAATGCCAAAAAACAGAAAAAGCTGGCTTTCTCCAGCCAGCAGAAAAAGAGAGGCTGATACAGACGTGTTTGCCAATACAGATGTGTGTTTACTGACCTACTTTATGGTGGGTTTTTTGCAGTGCACTGTGTAAATTTAATACCCCAGATATTCCCATCATTTGCTCAGGCTTTTAGTACTACTTTGTTCAACCAAACCTAAATTTAACTCCCTTCATTCTCATTTTGCTTATAATTCCTTTTTACCACTTATCCAAGGATCTGCAAGCTTACGATCTAGCTATAAATGCAGTCTCTCAAAACAGAACAGGGTGGGATCAGTTACTGTTGGAACCTTACCTGCTGTACAGGTTATCCCATATGTTCTGAGGTAGCATTAGTACCAGGTCCTCTATAAAAGTAGCCTTACGTGGAGGGACACCTATAAAATAAAGAAAAAGTTTTACTGTATTGTTTTTTGGCCATTCCATTGCAAAGTGAGTTAGAGAGAGACATAATGAGACCTTTAATAATTAGTTACGTCAAGGCTGTCCAACTTATGAGTGGATGGGAGCTGCAGATCCCCAGCAACACACTATGAAGGCTGCATCCCTGCTGGGCCGTACGCCAAGTCTCATTTGCTCTAGTTCCTACTCTGAATTCACCAAGTATCATAAGCAGCTATCAGATGTGTCTAGCCTACTCAGCAGTCCCTTTTACTTGACAAGATCTGAAGACTTCAGGATACTGTGACACATAAGAAATTTGCAGCAGTCCTGCACAGTACCACGGGTATGCCAAGAGCTGTTTTTCCTACAGCAGGGGTGTCAAACTATATGGCCCATGGACTGGATCTAGCCCATGACCTGGCCATGGGTCACTGGACTGATACCACGTGTTGGCCCCAGCCCTGCAAACTGCATGCAATGTGTGGAGTTGACTGTCTTGTGCCCTGCATGCAGCACAGGGGGTCAAGTCCAAGACATGCACTTCATGAAGCACCCTGCCAGGCCGGGCCTGTGCTCCAGGGCCAATCCAGATTGGGCTATGCCAGAACCAGTGTGAAGGGATGGTTCAGCAGGGTGCTGCATGCAGCATGCGCCCTACACTGGCCCCGTGTGTGCTGCATACAGTGCATGCAACCAGTCCAGCCTCATGTACAGCATGCACTGGTCTTCGGGTTTATTGTGCACACAGCATACAGGAACAGCACAAGATGTGTGCTGTGGGCAGCATGTGGGTACTGGACCCAGCACTGTATGAGGCACAGGGGGCTCCAGAGCATGGGCTGCATGTAGCAGGTCAGACTGATCCCCTATGCTGCCTGCAGTGTTGGGTCCAGCCTGCGCACCATGGGCAGTGCTGGTCCCAAGTGCCTTATACAGAGCCCTAGGGCTGGTGCATGCTGCATATGGGTCTGGACCCAGTGCCATGGATGCTGTACAGATGGTTGGTTCCTGTCTGGCTTGCAGACTGATTTAGTGATGAGTCTGACACCCCTGTCCTACAGCATATGCACAAACTCTGTGCAGTCCATCATATGCAAAACATCCTTTTCTGTGCACATACCCATTCAGAAGAGCATGTTGGAACCCTTTATATTGTTGATAAATATGCTGAGACAGTTACTGGCCTAATATAGACAAAAAACTTAAGGTTACCTTGCGGTTGTTGCTTGGAAAGTTAGATGCTAAAATAGGTTTTGAAAAGACATTTCAGTTCTCTCCTATTTCTATTGGTATCTGGCAGAGGAAAGAATTTAAAACTTGAGTACAATGCACATCATAAAACTTCCTTGATCACTACAGGTTTGTTGGCTGTGTGTTGGATACAATCCTTCACGCACTCCTTCCTGCTTTGTTTACAGACCTACGGTTAGCAGCAGCAAGTAATTTAAATCCTTGTTTCAACTAGAGGCGCTAATCAAAACAACGAGGGGAAGTTTAACTAAATAATTAAGGATATAAAACAGTGGAAAAACCAATGTAAATTATTAGCAAACATGCAGAAAAAAAATATTAGGAGCTGTATAGAAAAACTTGTACACTACAGAAAGTTTTTCTATACAATTGGCTGTCTAGAATTACACTCTTATAAGATACTGTTTTTTAAAACACTTATATATTACCCTAACTAGAAGCGATAAAGAAATGTCAGTTATCCAGAAAACAAAAATCCAGAACAAACATTAGATACAAGTCTCTGAAATGTAAGAGACATCCCTGCATGCAATTATATAATCTACCTCCAAGTACATTTTCTGTTTAAGTGGCAATGCTATTATAGGTGAACAGTCTCACCTCCATGCACACAGAGGAAATCATTATTTGAAATGGGTCCTGGCTCTGCAAAGGTCTTGAATTTATTCAGCCACTGTCTAGAAATGTAGAACTGCAGAAGACTTGGTTCCATCATATTCAACAGACTTGATATCCTCCGTCTCTCTCTCTGTGCTTCTTCACTGCTTTTTCTATTATTATTATTATTAAGAATAAAAAATAAAAGCCTATTATTACAGGAATTAAAAAAAACCCCCAAAGCAAAACCTTATACAGGATCTGTTTTCGCGCAGTGGCTATGATTTAATGAAGCCTGATTTAGCATTTTCTTTCACTGGATTTCTTGGTGTTTACATTGAATGTACCTTAAAAACGCCATGAGGAATATTCCATTAATACACCACTTCATAAAACATTTATATTTTACTTTACAATTTTGAAAAACAAAATGGGAGTATTTATTTCATTTCACAACTGTAAAAACATATGATATATGCAGTTAAATACACTTCTTCAATAACTTTTCCAAACCATCAATAGAAGTCGCTGATTATATAAAGTGACACAGACTAGAGTTTTGATGCATTTTCTAAGAGTATGCCTCTTTTTGAAAGAAACACAGAAAGCAGTCATTCTAGTAAGACCAATGATGGCAGTGGCCTGTGACTAGTGCTTCTGATCAGAGGCAAAACATTCCCATTATCCACCTAATAATTTGTGCAAGTCTAGCCTATTTCTGTTAGACTCAGGAAACTGATATCAATACAAGAAATGTATATCTTGAAAACTGAATTTTAATGGTTTAAAAAAAATACTGGGAGTTAAAAACAACTACAACCGACTCAGACTGAAGTTAGTAAGAGCAGGTCTCCCTCTCACTGCATTTCAGCTTCAGGGAAGGAATGGCCCCTGAATTCCCTAAAGTTAAACCAAGATGCAGTAAAACCCCCTTTGTTCCATGTTCCAGCTGCTAAAGAGTTTCTTCTATTCCCTTTATAACTCTAACAGTCCCAGTCTGTGCAGAAGCCTTCCTGCACAAGTTCTCCCCTGCATGAAAATGAGGCAATCTTAGTGGCAATTTTAACAGTTCTTTCTAGCCATCTTACTGAGTTCTTGTAATTCCCAATCTGCACAAATAACGTTCTGATCCATTTCTCTGCCTTTACTGAAGTTATTATGAAATGTTTTAAAATTCAAATCACTTCACCTTGTTATTATACAAAGAAAACAACCTATAGCAAAGTATTTCAATGAAAGCAAAGCACCTCCAGAGTGCCACCTGGTGATATTCAGAGAACAGTGAAATCAAGTTTCCTAGTATGGCAGCTCCCCTAAATCACACCATTCATTAGAAAGACCACAGCCTCCTCTTTACTTGCGTTCAAATTAATACGCTTTTTGGGGGGGATATCATAAAATAAAAATATCACCAAAGTATTTTTGATTTTATACATGAATTCTCCTTGAAGTACAAGGTCTCCAGTATCTGGGTCTCTAGCTGCCCTTACACCGCCAACCTCTCTGCAACTTCTCTCACAAAATTTAGATACCAATTTTGAGAGCTAGGTACCAAAATGGCCAACAGCTTGTACTTAACCAAGGCAGATGCAGACATCAACCCGTCTCCCTCTAATTCAGATTCTTACCTGTAAAAGAGAACATAAGCTTCGGCGTTTTGTACTGAAGATTCTGTTACTTCTGTAACACTCTGGTCATCAAATTCATACCAGAGATTATTTAAATTGTTTCGGCAATAAGCTATGTAATGCCCACCTAGAGAAAGAATGTGTTAAGCATTAGAAACTATACGGTGAAATATACTGTTATGAACTATACTGGTAAAAGGGCAAATAGCATGAATTTATCTTTTCTGTAGACATGTTCAGTGGCATTAACAAAACAGCTTTAACTTATGCATACTTGGTTTGAATTATTTTATAACTCAAAGATCAGCAGCTCCATCTTTCTCCCAGGTAATAGAAAGAGGAAAACATGATTTTACTCCTTCAATATATTCTGTCTTCTTCAACTGACCTTTAGCTTGAAGGATTTCTGACCAACATGAATATTTTACGCTGGGTCTCTGAGTCCATTCATTTTGTAAATTGATTTTGGAAAAAACAATTTTTGTCAACCTGTATAACATCAACCTGCACATCAGTACGCACAAGAACAACATTCTACTAGTTGGGATCAAGATTCTGAACGTACTCCTTGGATATTACTCATATTTAGACTTCTATTGTTTCTTAAAATACAAAGCCCGTAGTCATTAACAAATATCTACCCTTGATCCAAAAGGCAGACAGTATTAAGGAACAACTTGATTTTAACAGTGAGGCCCAGCTTTTGGGGCTTTACTCTGTGTATAGACACTGTAGAATCTATTTCTTTTTTGTAACTGAATGCATCCTTATGCTCTCTGACTTGTCAGGCACACCAGACCAAACTAGTCAAGAATACCACATTGGCTTCATTGTTTAGGGCTCTCTTTGTTTTGGCTATGTCACAGAGAACAAAAGGATGATCCTCTCCTGAACAAGTGCTTGTCAGACAGGAATAAGCACAAATCTTTCTATTCATCCATTCCTGTACATGAACTTCATCAGATAAAAATCATTATGAGGTAACCCGAATTATGTGGCAGACAAACACCAGTTTTTGACTGCTAGCCATCCTCCGCGGCACTCTGTCAACCATCGCGAGGAAAGGAGAATTAGGGTACAGACAGACATAACAATTATTTTCATACCAAAGGATAACAACAGTTGTATCTGCACAATCCTGTAGTGATGCAAGTGCAGCAAAACCACTCCACCTTTAACTCGGATTCATTGGGGTCATTTAACTTGCCTTGCTACAGGATCATGTAGATATAACCTCCAGCTCATAAGAACTGCTGTTCACTCCTGAGCTGCATCTCCCCTTCTCCTTGAGGCTAAAATGAACACAAAGCTAAAATGTACATTTGTCCATACACTCAATTAAGTGGATCAAAATCAAGTGCCAATCAGAAAAGTAGTCTACTGTTATCCCTACAGTGATTATAACATACAAATCAAAGTGGATGGAATTTCAGGGACTATTACTCTTAGGCTGGGATGGTTTCACAATTCTTGTTATATTTACTGTTTTGCCTGCCGGAAACAGAAGAAACTGGGAAAAAGTAGCCAAAGGAGAGCCTGTAGACAGTACTGTTAAGTCCTTAATGCTTTATTACTTACATCCTTCAATTTCTATAACAAGAATCAAAGGATGGTTACCTAGAGAAGTTTTTACAAAGTTAAAAATAAATTTAAGGTTTCATTATTGTTTTTTAGTGCCAGTATCAGTTGATATAATCCTCTTGAAGCTGTGCAAAATTCCCAAGTAAGATTCCAAGTGTATGTGCTATATAATGGTCTGCCCCTTTAGGGTCTTGAGGAGCAAAAAGTAATAGCCAGCCATATTCTGGAGGAGGCAAGATGCACCCACTTACTAGGGCTGGGCCCCCGCTGGGAGTTTAAGAGAGCTCCCAAAGGAGGCACAAAACTCATGACTGGAACCGGGTGTTCTTGTCATGAGTCCTGGGATCCTCCAAAACTTTATATGCAGATGAGGTGCAGGCAACTTGGTCCGGCTTCATCTCATGGAGGGTGGCACCACACTAATCATTTGCTCCAGGCTGAGAGAGGGGGCAGCATGTCTTGAAAAAGAGTTGGTACTGGGGGGCTGCACTGAATGGGTGTTATCATACATCTTATTCAGATTAGCTGCACTAAGGACATAAACACCTGCATGTTTTTTATTTTCAGGTCCAAAAGTATGTAAATAAATAAATAAAAGTTCCCATCAACAATAAATAAAAGTTCCCATGGGCCATGTGTTTTACAGTCATGCTCAGTGGTGTTTGAATTTAATCATCCTCATACTTGCTCTCCATTGCTGAGCACATGCTGCTTTTAATGTCGGCGGTTTAATGATAGACAATGTAGTTAGTGAGATTTCCTTGTATGCAATTATAAGACGAGAGGCTTTTTTCCCCCCTTGCCAATGGGGGACTAGCAAGGTGACAAACCTTGTTGTGTATTTATTTGAATAAATACAATATATGCCACAAACATGTATCACAGTATTTGCATTCTGAAATAATTTCTTTATGCTTACTGCTTGCAGTTCCATGGTGGCAGATGACAGACAAGAGATCGTAGGTCACTATTTGAGTGGGACTGTCTTTGGCAAGGAAAGGCTGAAGATCAAGTCCTTCCAGAGGAAATGATACATGGGTACCAATTTTTGTGGAAAACATTAGCTCATGTCTAAACCTTTTGAGATGAATGCATAGTATCTGTAAGAAAGATTGACAGACACAGTGTTAATTAAAATGTGGACTGCTACTGTTTTGTATTTAACAGACACACTACAGGAGGCCTACTTTCCTTTTGTCACTTGAAAATAAGGGATTTCAAAGGCCCTTGTACAGGTTGGAAGGATCTACTTCTAATTGCAGAAGGTGGCTGACAGCAGCAATCACGATCATTTTAAAATTTGCTACAGCTTTGGTGTGGGAAAGAATCTCAAACATATTTGTGGAATTTCTTCAAAAAATCATCACTGGGGGTACACATGCAATTAATTTGAAGCAATAAATTCTGGAGCAGTTTAAGCCAGAATAAGCTATTCCCAGCTACAGCTGCAACTGCAACGTCTACACATGTACCCAGAACAGCAGCAATTTGAGCCAGAGCAGAGCAGTTTATGCCAGGGCCAGGGGCACTGGGGGGATCAGCCCTGGGCTCTGGATGGAAGCATCGGGCAGCAGAGGGGCTGGCTGTGCTGAAAGTGTGGAACTGTGGGGCTAGGCTGCAGGCAGGAGTCTGGCCCCCTGCTGGCTGGACTGACCAGGCACAGTTTACACCTGCAGTCAGTTTCTACACACGTATTTAAATTGCAGTTAATTACCCTGCCATAAGATAGTACTGTTCCTGACAGTAATCTTACAGCAGCATTAGTTAATTTACTACGGCCAAATAGTATTACACATGTAGATGGTAATGCTTTACTCTGCAGCTAATTAGTCTACTCCACAGTTAAGTGCATGTGTAGATGCAGCCTGTGAAGCCAGCCCTGAGCAGTTGCTATGCCCAATACTGCAATGAAGGGAAAAACTCTTATGCTTCCATATTTAACTATTTGTTCAAGTCTGTCACGAGGGAAAAATTCTTTCCTGAATATGGCAGCCATCAGCTGATGTTATGAAGCATAGGATTTGATTGTCTTCAGCATGCTAACTACAAACATTACTGGAAAGATTTCCAGCACAATTACAGTATTTAAGCTCCATGACCTCCAGTAAAGGTGAATTCCACTAGTTGACTACAGGAATGAAGGGAAAGCACTTTCTTTTAAGTTTTTTTTTTATTTTACCTCCATTTGTAATTGCTCACCTTCTTGCTGAGTACAAAAGTACAATTGGATATTAACAGGTTTTTGTGAATGCAAGTATGCAGTTACATTTTAATCATTTAACATTCAAGACCAATTGCATCTTCTATACAGATCATTAGTCTTGCCACATTTCTAAGCATGTAAAATAAGTGCTTCTAAAGTGGGTGTGCTAACAGTACCTCAGGAAATGTTTGCACTTTGCAGAATTTCACTCCATTTCTTAACCTAAGCACAGAAAAATAAAATACATTTAGTCCCAGAAAGGTTTTACACTTTTTTTTTGCTGAGTTGGCACAAGGAAGTTAGTCTTAAAGTTGAGAGTTACATTAGTAAACCTGAAGTATTTCTGGAATGCAGACTAGATATACAGTAGCCAAAGTGATATGAATAATAAAGCTGTGGATGCAGATACACAATCTGTACCACTAAATAATTGAAAACCATTACTTTATGTGCTCTCTCTCTCGCTATTGAGTGTTCTTTGGATGGGAAAATAATTTACTGTTTAAATGTTATGAAAGCCTGTTACAGGGAGTCGATTCCCATTTTTGCTAAGTTAGCTTATTCTTGAAGAAAAATCAGTTCTGGTAGGTCAGTATAATTGTACCAAGGGCTAAACACACTCCATCCCCACTACACATTCTTTAGTTCCATTCTCCTACATATTCCCCATTCCCACTATGCATTCTCCCTCCTACATTAAAACAGTATTATGATACCTGCACATGAAAATAATTTCACTTTATAAACAGCAACTATTATTGTGCTAAACTTCTAGGTGCCTTTATTTTTATTAGGGCTGTCAAACAATTAAAAAATTTAATCACGATTAGCTGCACGATCAAAAAAATTAGTTACAATTAATTGTGATTTTAATCACACAGCTAAACTCAAAATTATGCACAGAAAAATTCAAAATAATACCAAATTAGGCAGGTACTTTGTATGGCGGGGCTGGGTGCTTGGGGGGCAATCTGTGAACATGTGGGCAGTTGTGGGTGTGTGTGGGGTTTGGAGCCTGGGGAGGGGGGACCCCCGCATGCCCTTGCAGTATGTGGGGTACTGTGGGTCAGGGGGCAGCTACAGGGCTGGGTGGCCTGTGGCTTGGGAAGGAGGGGCAGGGCACATCACTGCCCCCCTCAATCAGATTACCCACTCCCCATGTGTCCTCTTTTTTGAAACTGGAAATATGGTAACCCTACAGGAATGCAGCCTGGCGACGTGTAGAGCAGCAGCAGCAGGTAAGTCTGTGGAGGGGGAGGGGCAAGAAAAAGGACTGGGGGGTGGGAAATAGAGGCCCCCATGGTGAGGGATGAAGGGGGCAGGGGTGAATGAAATCCCAGGGGTGGGTTGTGGGACAGCTGCGGACGGCTCATCCAAGGTGTACGGGGTAGCTCCGTCACTGGATGAGCCCCTGGGGGAGGTGTGTGAGGGGTGGAGGCAGGCTGTGGGCTGGGGCTTGGCACCCTGCTGCCTTTGCCTTGGGACCTGTGCAATGCCATATTGTGCCTCCTGCCACCAGGCAGGCAGGGGGGCAGCCAGTGTGAAGCTCCCGACACTAAGACAGCAGGGTGCAGAGCCCCAGCCTGCAGCTGGCAGCCCACCTCCACCCAGTGCACAAATTCAGGGGGCACATATCCCATATGTCTCCTCTGGGATGTGCACAGTGGCAGGGAGCACCCCCTCCCCTCTGTCCCTGGACAAGACATCTATATAGCTCTGTCCCATGACCTGCCCCGGCCCCAGGGTCCCATTGACCCTGGCCCCCCTCCTCCCCTCTGCCCCCCCTTCCCCGTGAAGCAGCTCAGAGCTCTTGCCTGGGTAGCCCTGCAGCACTTCTACACTGCCCAGGGGTGGCCCAGGGGCGTTGGTGACGAAGAGCTCAGACGCAGGCTCCAAAACCATGTGTGCAATTAACATGTTAATTAGTTCTAACTTTAATCACGCATGTTAACATAATTAATTGACAGCCCTGTTTTTTTTTCTAATCACATATTAGACCAGGGGTGGGCAGTTATTTTGGGTGGAGGGCCACTTACTGAGTTTTGGCAAGCCATCAAGGGCCATATGACAGGCAGATAAATATTAATTTTCTAAGTTTTTAGGGGCCCTGCGGGCCAGATAGAATGGCCTGGCAGGCCACGTCTGGCTTTTGGGCCGCCCCTGTATTAGAGGGGTACTAACTGACCATTAAAGAACAGTTGTAGGTAGCAGAATGTGGATTCTTTGCAGTCAGATTCCTTACCACCCCTTCCCAAGATGACGATTTGTGAACTAGATGGGGACATATATACATAGAACAATTGAATGGGACCACTAAGCTCCTTTAGCTGTTAGCTGTGTCATTTATTTCTCTGAGCAGCTGAAACAGAACCACAGCTGAGTTCCAGCAAAATGGAAAAGTTGTACCTTTTGAAGTGAAAGGCGCAATAATCAGTTGGGCAGCTTGTCCCTTATTTAACAACTGGCTGAGAACCAAATGGGTGGTGAACAACCCATATACGAATGATCCTGATTCTACCATTCAAAGAGTTGTCATACAGGTAAATGAAATGACCTTTACATGGCAGTGTCATCCTTCCAGCTCTTGCAATCTGCTGCACCTTCACTGCTACTAGACTATATGTATAGAACCAAATAACTTAAGAAGATCCTCATAAATTCTTGTCATTAAGACTGTCACAAATACAGAATTCTCCCATTTAAAAGGTTATTATACAATACATTTATTTCCATGCATAAACTGTTTATAGAGAATGAGAGAACAAGACACATTAAAGCAAATGCAGTAGAAGATTACTTACTTTTTACACTTTTCACAGCTGTACATATTGTCACCTGCAAGTGGCGGGAGGAAGAAATAGCGTTATTTTCCAACTTCATGTTTTATCCTTCAAACTATCAAACTACAATTGTGCTTTTCATTTGCATTAGTTTAGATGTGTCAGAATAATTTCAGAGATATTTCACTTTTAGGGTTACACGTGTTCATAGTCTCAAGACCCTGGATTGCTCTAGGGCAGGGGTGTCAAACATATGGACCAAGGGCCAGATATGAATGACTTGGCCTGAAGACTTTTGCCCCGATTCTGGCTGTGACTGTGACCTTTCCATAGTGGCAGCTAAGTGCCTGGGCAAAACCCATTGGTGCTGGAACTCCAGCAGCTTGTGGCTTGTTCCCATGATGGCAGCCAAGAGCGCAGGTGAGAGCCAAAGTGCTGAAGCCCCCCAGTAAGACCGAGGGAAATAGCCCAGCACCAATGCCAGGGTTCGTTCCTGTGGTACTACTCAAGATCCAGTGCCTCAACTCTTGCCTGGGCATTTGCTTGCCACTGCAGGAACAAGCTGCAGTGTTGTTAGAGTTGGGCTCCAGCACTGCTGCTCTCATGGGGGTCGCTTGGCTGCAGTCGCAGAAAGAAGCTACAGAGCTGCTGCGGCTCCAGCATGTTGGCTCTTCTCAGCTTGGCTGCTAAGCACCCAGGTGATAGCAGTGGTGCTAGAGCCCTGCAGCTTGCTCCTGCAGCAGACAAGCCTGCCAGGGCTCCTCTTGCTGGGTCCTGGACTAGGTGAAGTAGGTGCTGTATGTACTGGATCTAGTATGGGGGTGGGGAGGGGCAACAGGCCTGATTCAGTACACAGGGCCAGTCTCATACCATTGATCCACCCTGTGGACCAGTCCTATGCCACTCATTCAGTTCATGGGGCCAGACAAATTTGATACCTCTGCTCCAGGGAAAATTTTAGCGTTGAATTAAATATATGTATCACAGGGTTCTTACGTTTTATATCCCCAACGATTAAAGAAAAAGTAGAGTCCAGAAAAAGAAAGAATGTGTTTAATCTTAAACAGTGTATGTTAAGGGCAAGATAAGAAGCAAAACCCCAGATTCAGACAATATAGTAGTCACGATAGAATTGAGAAAGAAAACTACTGGTCAGAAATTGTTCTGAACCTTCATCTGATTTTATTTAGTTCAGATGAATCCAGTTGTGACTAGTATTACCAAGTAAATTTACATGGAAAATTCTTCCCTCAAACTTCAGTCTCACAAGCCATTCTGCAATAATTGATCTTAGACTGGGTCACGGGATACATAATTTGATTTAATTAAAAAAGAACAAATGGTGTTATTTAAGTTTTGGTTTAACTAAGGAAGCATATTAGATTTAATTTAGACTTACCCTTGAGCTCATCTCTGGCAAAAAAGGCAGCAAGACAGTCTTGTAAGGTTACAACTGGACCCCAAAACCAGCTAGGAACACATGAGACAAACGTGAAACATTGTTGATAAAAACCCTCGCAAAAAACAAAACGAATGTTCTGCTTGAAGAGCAGAAACAGCAATTTTAAAATCCAAGCACTACAAAAATGAGTTACCTTTTAATGTACTCCATGAAAAATGCTATCCACCCCTGTGGGGCATATGCTTCTCCACATGACCCTGCTTTGACCAGAGAAGTCTGATGGCTTGCAGAATGCAGTTTAGCAAGATCTTCCTTGCCTGGAATAGGCAAAGACAAATCCTGAAAAGTCTCCAGAGTTATAGACACCTGAAACAAAAAACAAAGAGGAAAATTAGACTCCTTATAGCTTATTTCTTTTAATAAGCTGACCTAATTCTTAAAAAGTCCATCAGTTTTCATTGCTTTGTTTTTTGATATGGGAAAGTTCAACCAAGGAATGACTGCCAACTGAAGATGTAGAGTTTTACTCCAAAACTTCCACTAGATGGCACGTTCTGGTGATTTATTATGAGGCAGGGTAGAGTTGCTCTTTACAGACCAACTAAATCAAAGGTACATAAGCTTTTTAAAGCAGCTGCTTACTTCACCAGATGTTGTGAAAGGACATCTGTTATAAGAGCAGACTTGTAAAAAACACGTGGCTTTTGTATACCTGAAGTAATAACAAAGGTTCTTTTATACATCCCAGCTGGTTCCCCTTGAAGGTGATGACAGTGGTGCGGGACTGTGAAATTTTCTCCAGAGGCAGCCTATCAAGGGCACTAGGGTAAAAATGTTATTGACGTTACTTTGACTACATTTCACTTAGTATTTGGCCCTGGAAATAAGCACTGGCATATTTAACTTTTGGGAATCCTGTCAACAAAATGAAGCAGGCTATTAAGACTTCTTTCCAAATTAGTTTTGACAAGTTTCTAAAATTATCAGTTACTATTTGAGGGGCTCTCTGAACAAATGGGGCACAATTCTCTAAGTGGGGGGTGTCCTTTTTATGATATAATACTATACTTTCCAGTAAGGAACTGAGACTTGTGAGGAAAATCAGAAGGTCAAATAATTTCGAAAACTCTTTTTAAATCAGGCACTGAATTTTCTCATCTAACTTGCTTGATGAAACTTCCAAAATGGTATGGATTAAATTATTTTCTGAATTAATTATTTTCTGTATTTCTGAAAATATACCATATTTAATTATTTGCCTTTTATAATCTGATGTAGTAATTAGATGATTTTATGTGAAAGTAGTATTTTTTTCTCAAGATAAGTGTATGAGAGTGTTAGAATAATCATGATTAGCTTTTTTATTAAATGAAGCAGTATACAAAATATTTCATCAATCTTGGGAGGAAAACTGTCATGAAACACTTCTCATAAGCAAAGACTGTGTATCAAGGAATGAAGAATTCTTTCTTGTTTAAAAACAGAAGATTTACATAATTCAGTGCTCACAAATTTATTTAATCCAGAACTGCTCACTCATCTCTTACCCATGAAACTTTGAGGCATGGTTATGCACGCACTGACTGGCCATAATATAATAAAAAATGAACTGTGGGCCATTCAAATAATTTATCCAACAACGAGAAGCCAAGAGCAGTACTTATTAGGTGATTAGAGGAAAAAGACAACTACTAATCTTGGAGGAAAAATAGCTGCAAATTAAAGCTGACAGTTTTGTTCACTTTCAGGTATATTTATGATTTTTCTAGTATCATATGAGAAGGAAGAGTTTGGGTAAATGAAGCGCTGAAACAGCTGCTATTAAGGCTTACAGAATCAAAATGAGAAACACAATTGCAGAACTCAAAAGTGGGCATACCCTTACCATCTGTCCACCATAAAAAAAATCCCAGTAAAAAGATTACACCTCTAGTACCCAAACTACTGAAGTTAACTATTGTATGTTAGTATAAACAGTCAAACCCAAATTCATATCACAACATGGCTATTCTCACTACACTTACCCGATCACAAGTCAGGCACTGCACTGAGCTTATGATGGTCCCATCAAATATGTCAGAGATAATACTCCTGTATCGCTTCTGCCTCTTCTTTTTTGGAGAAGTCACACATGGAACTAATACAAAAAGGCAAAAATAGTTTAAAAAAATAGTTCAAAGTATATTGCTCAGCTTTTATCGTACTCTGCCTAAACCCTTTAAATAGCATAAAATGAGTTGTCTTGTTTTTAGGTTTGAAAAAAGGGACAAACTTTATTAGGCAGTAGACATGATTACTGTCACCTATGGCTAGGTTGTTATAGCCCCATGGCATTTCTTTTAGGAGTGGATATGGACAAACAGAAGGGTTACTACTTGGTTTCTACTGAGTGGATTTTTCAATGAGATAATTTAAGTAAGTGAAACTAAGGCTGCAGGAGCTATTTTGACACTCTTAGTCTACTGGTCTTAAATTAAGATCCAGTTCAACAATATTCCCAATGTGCAGCATGATTTTATACATTAGAGTGTACATGCCAATGCCACTTGACTGTAACCACTTTACAGGTGGTCTTCACTATGTTCTGGTCCAAAAGACTCAATCTATGCAAATTCAAAATACTGGAACATTGATTAAGCTGGATGCAACTTTCAGTGATCAATACAGAACCTAAGAAACTGCTGACTGAATGGGAAAAAAACCCATCCCTGCCAAGTTTGATTAAACCAAGTGGTGTCTGAGGGCTCTCAGCAGGATTTTCTCCAACTGATCAGAAAATGAGTAGAAATAATTTTGAGTCTTGAGCTCCATGAAGTCAGTCACTGAAGATATTTGCAACAATCCCTGGAATACATAAAGCAGCCTTTTGGGACCCAATACTTTAGAGAATAAAACTTGGAAACAGAAGTACAGACTACAAATTCCCTTCCTGAACTCGCACAAACTCAAATGACCCAGCTGGCCTTTTGGTGGAGTCTTGAAAGCAGACTGTTCACCTTCCGAGTGCAAATACTAACGGAGATCAGTGAAATAAGGCAACAGCAATTGTGAAAACGGAAACTGAACTCGCTCCAGCAACATCCCATAAGGCATACGATTCTCTAAGGCTGTTTTGTAGATAAACAGAGTTGATACAGCAAATGATTTTCTCCTAAGCAGATATCCTTCGCTCCTTGCCCTCTTAACAGTAGCCAGAATTGCCTGTCTCCTCCTTAGCTGGAAAAGGTTCAGAGTTACTTCTGCCTTCACTTGAAGTTACTGACAGAAAAAGGTATAAATTCTTGCAAGTCCTCTTCTCCTATATGATGTGCACTATGCGAAGAGTGCCATTTATACTGTATAAATATGCTGCATGGCTCCATTTCCAGACCCTAGTACACTGACTTTTTTTAAAGTGTGCTGTAGAACAACCCTCAATTTTCAGCTTACCAAAGTTTGTTGTGCTCAGCATGCATAATCCTCTCACAGACATAGCTGGAGGGGAAGTTGGAGTTGCTGACAGCTTGGCCTCTTCACACTCTGAAATGTGAGACAATTCAGCTTTTGGTAACCAGAAAGCAGCTCAGGCTTTTGGTACAGGAGAGGGGATAAGTCTCCTTTTTGGAGACCTAGCTTTAAAGAGGACAAATTTTACATTTCTAGGAAGCTATGATTGCTGCGAGCTAATTGATTACTACCTCCTGCCCCCTATCTTTCACTACACACAAAAATGATTGTGTGAGCTTAATATTTACGCAAATATAACTAAGACTCAAATATTTAATGCTGGAATTTAATTTGTCATTAGACTTCAGTGTTGACACACCAATGGGAAAAATGAATCAATTAATCCAAGAGCTATGGTCTCTACTGAATTCAGCAGGATTCACCATATGGAGATTTTCTTCAAAGTCGCAAGCTATTCAACAATTAAGAATAAAGAAGTAGAAATTCAGATTCTGGGTCACACTTGAAAACATGAATGATTACAGAGCAATTTCCCTGGGTGCTTTACTGCATTACACCATGGCACATGGGCAATGAGTACAAAAGGTATATAAAGAGCCAGGCACTGGCCACGTTCCAAACACCATTGGTAGCAGATCCTTGGCAGGGGAAAGGAAAAAAAAATGAAGCAGGATACCGAAGTGGATTCCCATTGGGATGGTTCACAGGTTCCTGATGATGGCTGAAGGGGCCAGCTGTCAGGCTGAACACCAGGGGAAAAGACACCACAGGTGATAAACTGCAGTACTGCCAGTGCTGAAACTAAAATAAACTTCCTAATGGTGACCCACCCACAGGATGCCTTGTGTCTGAGCACCTTCTGGGGCATTTAAGGCTGTGAAAAAAAGAGGGAAAGAATATACTTGGGTGTGGCTTCAAAATGCTTTTCTGCTCAGCTGTTCATGGGTCAGCCAACCGAAGGAAGAGGAGCCAGTCAACACAGAAGATAGGATAAGAAAGAAACACCTATCTTCCACACTGTGATCAATTCTATGAAGTGCCCAGTGACAGCGGCAACTGTCAAGTACAGAGTAGAGGTATTTGTTACAGAGACAAAAGGAAGGTGCTATAAAAGTATACATTCTGTATCTAGAGACTGTAATGACAGAGGAACACCAGTGCAGAATCAACCTCTTTCCCTGACAATACATGTCAACCTGATGAATTAAGGAACCAAACCAGACTCTTCACTATACCACATAAGCGTAGTAATTAGCAGGGATCCTGGTATTCTCTGATTTAAAAGAAATCTCCTGTTTTTGGTTAAAAATGTGGTTACCCCAAATCCACATTTTCCCGTGATTTAAAAGAAACATCGCTAATATATAAATCTATATATAGTGGTGTTTCATTTTAATCATGGAAAAAAAAGTGTGGATTTGGGGTTACATTTTTAAAAACCAAAAATTAGGAATTTTTTTAAATCAGAGAAAGCCAGGATCCCTGGTAATTAGGACTGCTAAAATGAGTCAACTTACCACATACATTGGGGCAGTATGAACATATTATGAGCCCCTTTACCCTGAGAGAACATGATTGGTGCCCCATTCCCCAGAAATCCTGTCTCCTGAATACACAATAGGTTGCTTCTGGGGATTGTTCTCCTTTAAAATAAAAATTAACAATTACCTTCTCTTTTAGGCATTCCTCTGCCCACCCATTTCTCCAATCATATGCTCTAAAAGAAAGACCTTGAAAAATACTGCTCCATGCTTCAACAGTTAAGAAGCAAAAACAACTGCAGCACCAAGAGGGTGCATCTGCCTGTATATGTATCTTGCTATAGTGAAAAAAATCACGTGAACAATTTTGCACTCTGGTATCACTGTCTGATACAAAAAAAATACAATAAAGGACAAAACACTAATAAGCAGTGCAGTGCAAAGTGAAAAAGAAGTAGGTACCTTTGTGGGAGGGTGCCAACGGAGACCATGATGAGACTGATTTTGGAGGACTTTGTGCTGCAGACAGATCATTTGTGTGGACGTCACCAGCAGCGTAGTCTGAAATTAGAAATCTGTATTATTACAGTTTCCAACAAAACAATTATGCCAGGTTGAATAACGGCAATAATTAAAGTTATATTTCAGCACACCACTGGATTACTGATTAAGCACTGAGCAATAAAAACTAAATTTGAATTCATCAACTGGAAAAGTGGCAGTAATAAGCAAAAGGTCACTATAAGAATATATTTGGAGCCTTTCAACCACTGTAGTTCTTGAATAGTTGATAAGTGTTTAATGCATTTCAAAGCAGTAACAAAATACATAATCACTGTGATGACCTTAATGAACCAATACAGAAACATATTAGGATATATACAGAGTTTTAGATCCAGTATTTTCATTCTAACTTCTATAAGCACTTCAGTAAATACTATGACATTACAATTACACATTAGCAGCTTGATATAGTCACCTGAAAGTCTGCTGTGTATTTGTACTTTAACTGTTCCTTGGTTGTTTAAAAATTCAGCAGTTTCTGAAGCACTGTGTGCGTCTTTCTCTAAGACTTCCATAGAATTTTTTCGGTTAAGCTTGTTACAAAGCATTTTTTCCTTCTGCCAATCTTTGCATATGAAAGAGTGGTTTTCATCATCCTGAATTAACATAGCAGACTCTGCAGGATCTTCCATGAGGGGTTTGTAACTGGCTTCATTTTCTGCCTTATCACTGCTATTACAAGATTCACAAGACTGGAAATCCAGATCTGATTGGCTTTTGTCTTCTTCCATGTTTTCTTCTACACTTGTAGGGTGGACATCTTCTATTTCCATGACTGGTTCCTTTAGCTCTTCATGAAGCAGATCCATTAAACAACGCAGAAATTCTTGTGCATCCTGAAATAATAATAAAAAAGTTAATTAATATTGTCCTTTTCTATTTAGAAGATATGTACATAGTGGTGACAAGACATGACCACAAAAAGCTGACTATTAAATCAACAGTTCAAGGTGTGAAAAAATTTGATTGACACTTCAAACAATATTCATGTTTCTTTTCTATGTCACAAAGATTGCTACTTAACAACACTCCTCCTCACTTTCACTCATCACAAAAACTTATGCTGTATGAATTCCTTACTTTAAATTGGGCGAGTGCATCCTGATGTAGGCAACCACCAACTGTCTTAGTTAGACTCTAGCTGTGAAAGCAACAAAAAGGTGTGGAAAGAAATCTACCTAAGTTATAATATTTTCAGGGCCTTATCTGATCTGATCATGGAAATTATATTTGCACCTTTCTAACAATCAGGTTTAAGTTGCTTCAGTCCTCCAACTGCATCAGAGCAGCACTGCCTGTGCATAAGAAGAAAAGTGAAGGGTGGACTGGCAGATTCAATCTGCAGCAATGCAGCAGCTTCTTATGGGAGCAGTAGCAATGCCACTGCTAACTTATTCTGTTTGGGACTGAATGACCTAAGTGAGCAAGACAGATTGATTTGGTGGTCTGGAAAGGAAAAAAAAAAAAAAATGCTGAGATGGGGATGGTCAGCAGTGGTGGGCTGACACTACGGCTTGGCATAAGTAACAATTTTGTTGTTCATTTACAAGTTAGAGGTGCTGTCACCAACTGGTTTTAAGCAGGCCTCTCCCTGTCTAATGATTTATGCATATATACACATGCACCTAAAAATCACTTGTATTGGTTGGTCCTTTACAGAAAGAGAACAATGGAGATTTGGATTATAAATTAGGGAATGTTTTGATTTCCCAAACTTGATTGGAAAGTGAAAGAATTTATTCTTCTGCAGACTAGAAATAAGCTGATCAGGATAACATTAGGCTCTTGGAGAGCAACTACTGTCACCCAGGAACCTAAGCAAGGATTATTTTGGTAAAACATTTTATTAGACCTAGTTAGGTGAGAGGTTAGACAAGGTTTGAGCACAAATGATCTTCTGCATATCAAAGTTATTTTAGAGTTGCTGTGTTTAGTCACTGGGGAACCCAACAATGACTTGTTTTGATGGGTCAAAGTAGGGTCTAGGTATCTCCTGATAAATGTTCTAGCACAGAGAGACTACATCACTCTTGAGAACCAGAGGTCAATAAGGATGCAAATGATTTTGTCACTTTTCTAGCTAGACCTAAAGGAAGAAACATGTTCAAGAATAACTTAAAAGTGCTGGCTGGGGACAGCACAAGAGATGGCTGAAAATACCTAAAAGGCATGAGCATCAGTTCTAAGACTTCACATGCCAAATAGGTAATTCTTGACTGCTACAAATACTTTAAAACAGCTGCATAAAGCGCACCCCATTTCAACAAGAAAAATAAACAAGCAAAACCTAAGCTCAGTTTTAAAATATTACAAGATGAAATGAACATGGTAAAAACTTGCTTTGCTATACTCTTATCTAGGAAAACCCTTGTGCCATTTTCTGGAACTGCTTGTATGTCATCTTTACTACAGGTGAAGAAGTGTTTTTGGCATTAACCACTCCACTGCTTTTCCCAAAAAACAAGAAAAGGAGGCATTCATAACAGTCACAAGGCTTTTCAGCAGTTGTTAGCTAGGCTGAGCAGAGAAGACTGTGATTAAGAGAACCTGGGCACGTCCACGAGCCCGCGCGTGCCACTTGCAGTGTCTCAAAGCCCTTTGTGACACTGTAAGATGCACACCAGGAACAAAAAAAACCATTCCCTGTGCTGTATATTTGCAGTGCGGGGGCAAATTTGATACCTGGAGATCTAGGTATTAAAAAAATACCATGGAAGAAAAAAACTGGGGGGGCAGGCCATGTTCCTGAACAGTGCCCTGAGGCAACTGGAGGCTCAGGTCCCTCCACAGAGCTGCTCTGGTAGCCAGCCAGGGTTTCTCTATGGCATGCTTCCTGCCTGTGCAGGGCAAACAGCGATGCAGGCTGCAGGCACCTAACCTCTGTGACAGGTAAGCAGCTGAGGGGGGTGAGGGGGGGGGATGACGACGACCCAACCACAGCTCCCCAATTGTTCTCCCAGCTCCAACTGCTCCTCTGTCTGGTCCCAGCCCATCCTCAGCTCCCCCGGCCTGGTCCCAGCCGCTGCCCAACCCCAGCATCTCTGCACTCACCAGCTGCAGCAGCAGCCATCAGAGCCACTTGGGGCCTCATGGCACAGTCTCCCCGCGCAACATGGGGCAGTGGGGCTGCAGGGCGCCAGGTGGCACTGTGCACTGTTTGGCAGCTCAGGCTGAGTGGTGCCAAGCCCCGGGTGACTGTTGCAGTGGCCCCAAGCTGCCTGACAGCACACGGCGCCACCCAGCCATGAGGCCCTAAGTGGCCCCAATGGCTGCTGCTACTGCTGGTGAGTGGGCAGGGGGATGGGGGCAGGTGGCAGGGGAGTGGGGGCTGTAGCCCCTGCAGGAGGGCATGTTGCCCCTGTTGATGGGCTGTAGCCCCTGTTAGGAGCAGTCCATGAGCTGTGTGGGAAGGCTGTGAGGGGCAGGGGAGCCACCCCCCTGAGCAGTGCCCTCCATATGCCCCCCCACACCCACGGTCGCCCCACAAACTCCACCCCCCCCCAAACCTGGCCCTGTGGGTCAGAAGTGAGGGGACTGGCACAGGGCACTGGCATATATCAGTGCTGCTCAGCGCTGCACACCTTGGTGAGCAAAGGGGGTACGGGCAGCTCTGATTTTTCTATGACAAAAAAGCCAAAAGTAAATACCTAACTGTATAGATATTTAGAATTTATTTTATTATGATGACAGAGGCACTGGCAGGCTTCCAAATTGCTTTAAAATTGTAAATATATCGATAAAACATTGCCCAACTGATCTTCTCTCTCTCTCGTTTTAATTGTGGAAGAGCATGGATTTTGGGGTATTTTACAGAGTGACCTTGGAATTTTTTAATTTTTTTTTTTTTTTTTTTTTTTTTTTTTTTTGTAAATCGGGGATTTTGCAGTTTTTAAATAGGGAATATCAGAATTCCTGCTAGTGAGGCAGGTGGCAGGACTCAGGCAGAGGAGCCTACTCAGAGCTGGCACCTGGGACCCAGCTGGAGGTGGCTGACCTCCTGGCCACTTGAGGCCAAAAGGATATTCTTCGCTAGTTCAAAGCAGGCCACCATACTGAGAACATCTTCTGGGAGATAGCTGCCCAGATGGCTGGGCAGTGGCACATATGGCAGTAGTGCCTCAAAGACCAACTGTGCAGCCACAGCCTACTTGCGGCTGCCCCAGAGCTGCAGATGCCTCTAATGGTTATGAAGTCTCCATTTGGGTCTGGCAGGCACGCAGCCTTGGGGGCATATGGTGTTACACGTGGCAGCAGGTCACAGCCAGGCAGCTGCTGCCACGGCCAGTCTGTTGCACTGGGTAGAGGGTGTAGGGAACTCCCAGGGTTGCTTCAGCAGTCCAGCTAGCATAAGGTGTAGTATCCCCAGGTACTGGGCCCCAGAAGCTCCTGAGAGTGAGTAGTCCTCAGCTATTTGCCAGGGCAGCTTTTTATACTGCTAGGGCCAGAACAGATGCTGGTCCCAGCCTCTAGCTCCTGCTGGCTGCAGATCTGGGAAGAGTCAGGCATGGTTATTTTGCTCCAAGTGGCACAATTTCCCCCACAACAAAATGCATGTCTGGGTACGTGTGCTGAGGCAAAAAGCCACGGCTCAAATTTGTGCTGTTTCTATTTCAACTGCTGCAAGAGCACGTGTCTGCATGTGTGGATGCACCTGTTGAGTCTTAGGAGATATATACCTAAAAAGCATATAAAAAGTAAGAAGGGTTATGTTTAATGTAATTTAAATAACTATATTTTAATGTGTAATGCTTTAAATCTTACATTTGAACCTACCTGAGTCTTGTAGTTCTATTTCATTGTTCTAATAGTGAGTAAAAGGCTAGAAAATCTTACCTGCTGGGAGTAGCCTCGAAATGTTGGATTAACGGTTTTAATTCCTTGAAACAAATTTGTAGGAACAATGGAACCAGGTCTGGGGGAGAGGTTAAAAAAGGTAAAATTGTAAGTGGACTTCAGTTTTTCTACCTTCATTGGGATCTGTTTATTAGGAAGTAAATTAGAACACAGGCACTGGAAACTCATTGCACAAATTTTCATAAAACGACACCGTTATTTGCCACTTGGGAGGCTTTGTTGCATGAGAGTCCTGGTAAACATTATTATTGTACAGTGACAACGTTTATAACACTACAAGATACCGAGTGCTATGTGTAGGTACATGTGCACAGCTCCCTGGCTTAGAATTAGATTAGACTGTGACAAAGTTGCCCCAAAGGCACAGTCTCCAGCCACGGGGAGACGAGACGAATGCCCCCAGAGAGATAGGACGGGTGTCCCTCAGGGCCCTCTGCCCACAGAGAAGCTAGTCAGTGAGCCAGATAGCTGATCCTGAAACCATGTCAGTGAGCCTGTTACTATTGTACCAGCTGCAGCATCCAGAGGTGGATCCAGTGGTCTTTGGTTTAGGGCTGTTGTTACTACAGCAGTCCCTTATGCATACACAGTCCCTTGTGTATGCATAATTACCAGCAAGCCATCTCAGGCAATGGTGGGGCAGGAAATTGCCGAGTCTGTGATTGCTGTAACCATGTCGTTGTCACTGAGTGGCAATAGAGACAGAGCACCTTGCAAGCCACTCTGGCGCAGCAAGGGCTGACCAGGCAGGGAAACTGTCCAGTAGGCTCCTGACAGCACACAACAACAGGAACAGGGCAGCCTGCATGCTGCCCCAGGTGGCAGGGGGCCAAATGGACAGCTGCCCACACTACAACCCTGTCCCTGTTGCCACTCAGTGGCAACAGAGACAGAGCAGCCTGAAAGCCTCCTGACAGCCTGTCCAGCAGGAAGATAGCTATCAGGAAGCCAGATGCTCTCCCTCCCTCCCTCTCCCTTGGTGGGGAAGAGGCAGAGCAGAGCACTGTGAAACAGGGGTGGGGGGAAGGGGGGGCTAAGACCTGGCTACATACTAAACTTGTCCTGGAAAGGCAAAGAAGTTGCTGCTTGAAACAGAAACCTTTTTGTTATCAACCTGCCATTTTTGTGACGAGTCAGTCATTTTTATAGCATGACAAATGGTGTGAGTGTGTAACCATTCACATTTTGTCATGTTAACCTTGCATATAAAAATAACATCTGTTAAGGCTCTAAGGAAGTCAAAATAAAACTATAAAGCCGTTTTTCATGACTATGGGTTCAACTGCAGAATATCAAGACATTTCGGTTATCATGTAAAAAGAAAAATCACTACTAAATTTGAAGGCAAGTTGGACACAGTTGAGACTCAGCAATATGCTCTTTGAGTGTCACATTATATATACAGAAAAGCCTCTTGTGTACCTCTTGCACTAAAATAAATGCTGCCTTCTGGAACTGAACACATACCTATTTAGATTTATTATTTTCAATTAAAATGAAACTTGCAGATTTTGTAACATCTCTTCTGAAAAATCAGAAAAGACAAATCTGCCCCTGGCTTGTACTACCATGTGAAGTTTACTTATAACATGTTCTGCAGGGGAAACAACAGCATACCTGCTTTTGTGCCAAAGTTCTGTCATCAGCTTGAGGTAACTTTTACAAATTGCTGGCTTCTTATCCGTTCGAGCTAAGGCGCCACAGTCGAGAAAAAACTGTGTCAAAGGCGGACTGATAATAAGGAAGAAAAAAACCCATTATTTTAAAGTGGTGATAAGAAAAGGGTGAGCTCCTATTCCCCCTACTCATAATAATTAGCCTTGGTCAATACCTCATTAACATCTAAACACAATGATTTATTTCTTATGCCTTCAGGACATATTCAGCTACTCAGTTACATGGGAAACTATATGGGAGGAGCAACTACCTTCTTCTCCCTCCACACAAATCCTGATATCTGGTAAAGATGCTAGAATTGCAGTGGTGGTGTCTGACAGCTGCTGCTCCTAATCTGGGTCTGGGTCCTGGAGGAGCAGCTGCCAAACACAACCTGTCCTTGCCAGGGGAGGGGGAACCAGGCAAGAAGTCAGTGATCAGGGCTACTGACACAGTCTCCCTTGAGGGCAGATGAAGGGAAAGAGCAACCCCATGTGAGCCCCTTAGCTAGAATACATGCCTTTGTTTCGCTACAAATAAATGCACGTCAAGGCCTAAGAACAATTAATGGGAAGTAAAGAGTGCACTGAACAGGAACTCAGAAGATTGTGCTTATATTCTCTCTGCTGAGACACCTTGGATAAGTCATTCTGTGCCTCAGTTTCTCCCATCTATAAAATAAAGGTAATGATACCTCCATTTTCAAATGTTTTGACATTCACTGATGGAAAAAACATGATATATGAACTAAGCATTAGTACTAAACCAGTCCTTTACCATGGTTTTCAAGGTGGGAAAGTCACAAACAAAAAACAGTAGCTAAGCAACAAACCATTAACTTAATAAGAGAAGCATCTAATTATGTTTTTGGTGTTTGTACATAAATACAAATATTGAAAATCAACTATATCTTCTAAATCAATACGTTAATTGGCAATCTACACAGAGAGAAGTCATTTAATCTATTTTATCACTAGAAACATTAAATAAACAGTAAGTGGGAAACCCCTAATTTTCAAAGCACTTTCAAATAAATATGGCTATGCTGGCTTTTCTGACTTGCAAATAAGATTAGAAATTAAGCCTTCTAAACCATGTCTCACTGAATTTCTAATCATTCTTTATCAACATTTAGTATTTAACTAGGATCTTGAAATACTTTGATCTGTTTTTGAGACTTGGATCCTAGGAATTGAAGAATGTAATCAAGGGTCACAGGACTAAGGCTATCAAACATTTTAGAATGAAGTCTACAGAGGTATGATTTTTTTCCCCCTAATGTTTCTACTTTGGTTTTAGAGGGGTTTGATCACTGAAGAATGTATATCTTCATACCAGATTTAAGTTTACATTTAATGGCTGTTTTCCTTACCAATTGGAAAGAGCTTGCAAAGCTGCATTCATGTAACAAGTGTTTCCTATATTTTTCAAACCAGTAAGACCTGTGGGAACAGAAAAGGTTACATTTTTAGCTTTCTTGAAAATATATTAAAAAAAACTTTTTTTAATCAAGAGACATACTAGTCCAATTCTACACAGCTATACTTTAAAGCCAATGTTGTTGCAAAGATATAGCTGAAAACAGAATTTGATTCTTGGACAATAAATACATTATTCAAGAGTAAATATTGTTAGAGGTACACCGACATATTGGTTGTATGTCAGATTGGCACTGATAAAAGGAAAATTAACATTATCAGCTATCAGCCTTTTTTGGCCAGTGTAGCTGATAATGTCACTGATAAATGCTGTGCGCATGCACGGAGCTGTAACATGCATACAGGAAAGCAGCCCAGCAGCACTGCCCTGCAGGTAAGTCTGTGGGCGTAAAGAGGCATGGGGGGGGGCAGATTGAGGTCCCCTGCAGTGAGGGAGGGAGTGGGGCAGGGGCTGCTCAGCCAGGGCAGTGAATAGGACCCCAGGGCCAGGAGTGGGACACATCCACAAATGGCTTGTCCAGGAGTGAGAAGAGGGAGTGGATGCCCACTGCTGCATGCACCCCCAGGAAAGGTGTGGGGGGCATGTGCCCCCCAGGATTTGTGCGTGAGGCAAAGGCAGGCTGCCCACTGTGGGCTTGGGGCCCAGGATGGCACCAGTCTCTTCCCAGTGGGAGGGCTAGGACAGGGCTGGACCAGAGTCAGCTGCATGGGGCATGTGGCAGCGGCTCTGCTGGGAGGGGTGGATACAGGGGCGCTAAGACAAATGTTGGGGGTGGCTACAGCTCCCCCCAGCACCACCCTTTCTCAGGGCACTCTGTTCTGCTGCCTTTCCCTCCGGAGCCCTATGCTGGCCACATGTCTCCTGCCCTCCATCAGCACAGGGCTCCCAAGAGAAAGGCAGCAGAGCAGAGTGCCCCGAGCAAGGGCAACACTAGTGGAGGGCTATAGCCACCCCAAAATTTGCCTTAGCCCCCCCCATAGCCATCCCTCCCAGTGCCACTGCTGCCCACATGTGTGCACAGCAGGCAGCCTGCCTGCACCCTGCACACAAATCCGGGGGGAGGGGGGAACATACCCCCCATGCCTCCCTTGGGGGTGCGCTGCCCCCCCCACCCTCTTGATAAATAACCCTTGGCTCCATCCTGCTCCTGGCCCCAGGGTTCCATTCACTGCCCTGGCTGGGCAGAGTCTGCCCTTGCCCCACTCCCTCCCTCACTGTGGGGGCCTCAATCTGCCCCACCCCCACCCCTCCACAGACTTATCAGCAGAGCACTGCTCTCCAAGTTGTCAGGCTGCATTCCTGTATATTGGCTACTGGATCAGTATCAGCCAATATGGCTGGTTAATAATCGACTATAGGTATCAGCGCATGCCTACATATTTTACTATTTGTTGATTATGGTACCTACACTGAATGTATTTTATTTGATCTTTTCATTCATGCATAGTATTTTTTCAGTTTTTTGTGAAATACGAAGATAGATTATAAAGGTCGAGTTCTATATAGCCTTTAATTTTACTTGCATTTAATGATTTAACCAGTTCAGTTGTGTTCTGTTTGTATGTGAGATCTGTCATTTTAACTGTGCAATCAAATGGAGGATTTAGTTTTTCAATAACTGTTCAAATAAACCTTAGAGCTTGGAAAATGTATACATGTAATTAATGATAACAGGAAATAAAATAATTTTATCTGTACAACTTTCATATGAACTGTATCCCCAAAACATTCATAAGGGAAATACAAATAAAAGCAAAGGAAGAAGGTTAGGAGGCACTAAAAGGGGATAAAAGACAGATTTTTCAAAGATTTAAGAACAGATGGTGAAATGGCAAGGTGGAGACACACAGGGAAGCAGTACCAGATGGCATTAACTGCAAAGGAAATGCCTTTTGGGTCAACAGCAGGGAGACAGTGGGGAGGCTGGTGTATACGAGTGGAGAAAGAGCAAAAAAACAAGGTCCATGAACTAGATTAAATATCTTTCCCCATCACTGATGTGAGAAATTGTCTTGTCATCTCAACAAGGCAACTGAGAAAAATATGATCAGCAGATTAAGCTAAGGAAATTTATACAAATATAAAACACATTGATATATCAATTGAAAACTTTGAAGAGATACTATGATACAGCTCACTTGTTAAATGACAGAATAAACCCTTTGTCTTGGGCTTCACAACAGTTTCTGTTACTTAAATATGTGGCATGGGTAACTTTTATGTTAGCTAAAATCTACAACTGCCAAAAATAAAAAAAGAAGAAAAAAACCCATTGCTATGAACTGCTGGCCCAAAAGGGTTACCCAAAATATAGAAAGCATTAATATAAGGCATCCAAAATAAAAAAATATGCTTGAACAAGTTTAATGACTACACTCTGACCAGAGGGGACAGAGACATCAATTTTAGGCCACTGAAAAAAAGGAAGTTACTTACCAAGAACTGGTGTTCTTTGAGCTGTATTCTCACTTGTGGGTATGTTTGACCCTAAGCCTCTGACCAGACACTTCTTGCCTTAGCAGTACCTGTACTGAATGCACTTCGACCACCCATCCTCTCAACTGAAAAAAACCCATATTATATTAGACTTCAAGGGAGAGCGCAGGATGTAGATGTATACATGGAGAAAAGTGCAGCTGCCAATAGCTGGCGTGGCTGTAGCAAAATCTGGGTTAAGGCAATGGAGTAGACCACTAGCAGTCAGAGGTTGGTCTTTCAAGAAACAGAATTTCTCCTCTGTAGTTCCTCTGTAGCTGAAAAGTTCCATTCCTTCAAAGGACAGTTTTTCAGTTGCCCCCTGATTATCTTTGGGTAAACCAAAATCATGTCGGTAGAATGACTTTTTCACAACAATTGTGCTAGCCATAGATTGGAGAGGCTACGTCTCCTGCATCCATAGGTAGTCTGCAAGGCAGTCTTAGCAACCAGCTGGCTGTCTGTAATCAAAGGGGATGATTTGGAGCTTGGTCACATGGTCAAAATGAAATTACAATTGGTGAACAGTGTCTGATATTGCCCATTGTTGAGGACTCACTGTACCACAAGCTTCACTGGGCCCTTACTGGGTAGTGAAGATTCTGGCCAGCAGACAGGGACAGCATCATACTGCCCAGTGCTCGACAATCCCCCTTTGGGATTCCAAGTGTTACTTCCATTCAGAGTTTGAAGATCCAGTGTTGGACAATATAAGCCTATTGTGGGTCTCTGAAAAACAGAATCCTCCCAGACATGAGAAGATGAAGCAGCCTTCTTACTTGACACCTTGATTGGAGATCTCCCTGAGGATCAGTATAGTGAGGGCCTCCAGGGCAAGTGAGCAGCGGAGGCATCAATGCCAGGTGATAAGAACCTGAATCCAAATGGCAACAGTGCGACTTATCAAAGAGAAACATCCTTAACTGTCCTTTCTGGTTCTTGGCTTGAACAAACAGTAGAGAACACACTTATCAGAGATGCAAGATTTCCCCTGGCAGTATAGGGACCTGGAATATGTCTCACACAAGAGGAGATGGTGTTTGAAGAACTTCTTGGGCAGGTAAAGGGAAGGCCCTTATCCCAAATGTGGCTGAGAGACCAGCATGGCAGTGTTGCAGAGCACAGAGAAGAACTTTCAGGGACAAAGCAGGTAGGGCAAAAACAAAAAAACTAGGTACTCTCAACCCATTAAGGGGAAAGAGGTAGAAGGGATTAAATAGAAAGGGAGAAAAGATAAAGAACAGTTGACAGGATTCAAAGGACTAGTCATCAACACAGAACAACAATATGTTTGGTCCTAAGCAGGTAGTTGAGAGAAACTAACGGTATACTGCCTTTCACCTCTCAGCATGGGAGTGGGGTAGAGTGTACTCTGTGGGTACTGCTAAGTCTCTGGTCAAAGGCTCAGAAGCTAAGCATATCCACAAGTGAGAATGTGTATCTGGATAATTACTAGGAGGAGAGCTAGCACACACACGACACAATTCTTTAAGTGAAGGTGTGACCCAACACTAGCCAATTAATTAATTGACTGTAAGGGGTTTAATCATTCAGTTCTATTACCTCTTGTCCTCAGTTCATCTTCTTCCACCTCGATATCCAAGTCATCAAATACAGCAACTAGAGGAATCTTCAGCGTTGGATTACCAGGTATTTTAAAATCCTCATTGGAAGAGAGGGGAAAACATAAGCATGATTATTTTAATTACTCTAAATGTTGGTATATTTCTACTAATGTGACTATGAATTAAACAGCACTGAATATATGCAGCTAGAATGTAGTTTACTTTACTTAAAGCAAAAGTTTAAGGCAAGTTCTCAGGAAAAGAACATAATACTGAGCCATATTCTGTAGACTAAGATATTAAGAAAAAGGGTCAACCAAAATGCAAGGCCAAATGTTGCAAAATGTCATGACACTGCATTAGGAATAGCAAGTTTGCATTGCAGTTTACTGTACAATTATAAACACTGCTTTTACAGAGGATTACATGAAAATCTGTATATACATTTTTGCTTCTACCACCAGATGGCCTACTGCATTTAATCAAAAGAAACACAGAAGGTGAGCCAAACAAGTACTTAATTGTATTATGTCCTCTTTCTGTAAGAATGTGAACAGGAAACCTTAGTATTTGAATGCAAAAAAGAGGGAACAAAAATTTCACCAGTTACTTTAATTTCTCCTTACATGATGCAACTTCCTTGGAGAGTAGAAACAAAAATTGGAGATATTTGAATAGTAGTAATGCTAGAGTGTTTTTGTAGCTGCATATTTCCTGGACTACTGCAATAATAAGGGTTCTTTGGTGGTATCTTTTACTGGATCAACTGTATAGTTGGGAGAGAAGCTGGACAGGCTTTTGGGCACAACATGTTCTTCTTCAGAGCACTTTGTGCCAGACAGCTTGTCTAACATTTCTCCCAACTATACAGTTGGTTTAATAAAAGCTATCACCAAAATACCCCTTGCTTCTTGCTTAACATGCAGGCATGTAAAGACAGAAAAGGCCAATCCATGTTTTGTTCTACAATAAAGCTACAGTCAGCTTCATTTCTACAGGAAAATTCTGCCACAGTTTCTCAGAGCAAATGTTTCATGTCTAACGATTACATATAAATAATTTAGAGTGCCAGTGCTACTGTGCATAATACTGTTTGTAGAGCAGTCTTGGCAAGGGCTGAGAGCTCTTAATGCTTACATAACAGATAATACAGGTGCTTCAATACCTTACAAAAGTAGATATATAATCTGTGTGAAAGCAACACTCCTGCTCTTAGGAACTGTAAGTACCTACTTTAGATAAAGAAGTGCAGTTTATTTTAATACTATAACTTAAAAAAGAAAACCTTAAAATTACCTGCTCTGCTTCTCTTGTCTTCATTTGTAACAATTTAGCTAGTATTTTTTTCTACATTTACATATTTCTAGTGTAATTTTCATTGTTTCCTAAATCCTAGCCACACAAAAACATGAACAAAAGCTTAACTAACCTAACTGCTCCACACCTAAATTTAGCTGTCTGTTGACTTAATTAAAATCAAATGACCAGCCTACAGAATAACAGTGACTCCCACAACTAGCTGAACTTCTGTGTCAATAGGGCCAGTGCTCAGAAGGTTAATACTACTGCTGCTTGCCCTGCTGGTCATCTAGCCCACATGGCCAAAAAGGTTTGACACCCCTGACAGAACTGAACCATAACATAAGTTTTATAAAAACAGTGTCATTATTAAGTGCTTGTGTGCATTTTAAAAAAAAAGGAACAAAACTATTTCTTGCTGTCCCCTGGGAAAGCACCTATGATGGCCAAAGGGAATGAGATTAATAAAAGTAACTGAAGCTGCATTGTTCACCAAAAAACAGTATTTCCAGGAAGAAAACAATTATGAACCTCAATTGTCATTTATAAAGAGATTAAAAAAATTACAGTTGATCTAATCCTCTGCATCTCCTCATATTAGAAGATAAATTAATAGGGACAGTTTGCCTGGGCTGCTTTAAAAAAAAAACCAACTCACCATACTTTTACATTTGAATTTGTACCTCTAACTGCTGCAAAATGATCTATGAAGACACCAAAACATGAGACTCTTCTACATAGTAGCTAGTAATAGCTTCCTTAAGATCTGTAACTAAGACAGTTGCATTAATCCTGGATGACAGGAAATAAAGTTAAACTATTTCAATTTAAAAACCTCAAATATAAATCTACATTGTTTCTTCACCTCCAATATAGGATAAATTAAAAAAAAGAGGATTAAATATACTTAGTACCAGTCTTCTTGGGAGGCAATATTATACAAAGATTTAGAGCAGATAGCTTAGTCTACAGAGACAGCCTTATAAAATATCCTGAAAAAAGCACATTATTCTCCAACACTGTCAAAAATCAAATTGGGCTTTAATTACAAACCTAAAAAAGGTTTGTAAGTATTTGACTAGTTTAAAAGATTACCTGTACACTATTTTCTTGTGCTTGGTGAGATAACCTTGCATTTGGTAATGGAGAACGAGTTCGTAATTTTCTGTCCAGAAATACTTCTTTGCTACAGGCATAACACCAGACACGAAGGGTAGTAAGGTTGACCGTAAGGCAGTGCTGTGTGTCCTACAACACAAAAAAAAAGTGATTAGGAACATGGAAAAATGCATCTTGACAAGATAAGCATAAATCAAACTATTAAAATATGAGGTTAATGATGTTCTTATTGAAAACAGCAGTAATTTAGCTGCCTCTGAAATCCTAGACTCCTTTTTTAAGATCAAGTGGTACAAACCAGCAACAGAAACTAATCACATCACAATCACTGTCAAAGCTGACACACATCTGACTAATGGTATAATCAGAAAAGAGGGCAATATGCTGATGGTGTCCATAGTAAAAATATTTCTACTTGTTAATCAAGTATCTAAAAGGGATGGACGAGAGCCACTTCCACATAGTGATCTCTATGTGTAAGACTGAATGAACATCAATTTGACATCAGTTGCAGAAAGACATAAAAGCCTGTGGCAGAACACTTCAGCTACCTTGGACACTCCATTTCTGACTTCAGGATTGCTGTTCTCAGGCAAAAAAAAAAAAGTTTAAAAAACAGCTTGAATGGGAAATTGTAGAGCAAGAAATCATCCACAAACTGGATTGTGTTAAGTATGGTTTAAATATGGACTATGGATTTTTATCTCATTGCTCGGATTAGCTTTTGTGACCCAGTTGTTCCCAGGTGTTTAATGCCTGTTTGCTTGTGTATCCCAGCACAGACCCACTCCCCTACCTCTCTCTTTTCCCTGCTCCCCTTATCTTTTGCATTTTACTTCTGTCTCCTTGGTCTGCCTTCTGCATGTCCTTTTCACAGCATCTGACAAAGTGAACTTGGGTTCATGAAAGCTTGTGCTCGCTATATAAATCTTAATTAGTTTATAAAGGTGCATATCTACCCTGCCTTCTGACTTATTTCCAACTACCACAGCTAACTACCTGCTTCTAAGCTTTCAGCTCTCTCCTCCCTCTCTATGGGGCTAGCTGCTTTTCTCTTTCTAGCTATTACTGCATGCTCAGCTTCTGCCTTTCTTCCTTCCATTTTCCAATGTAGCAAGCCTGTTCCTCTGCCTTAATCTCATGGTTAAACAATTCTTCCTAGTCTGACCTCCAGGTCTTCTTATTCAGTAGGTCTCTGCAAACCTTGAAATGTCTGTGCAGTCTTCTTTCCCTCCTCAACCCCCTGCCTGAATATGACCAGGTTCTGCAACTGAATCTCTATTCTTCCAGGATTCTATCAGGTGACTTGCCATGAATACAAACATCCAGCTGGGTAACTACTCAAGCACAAGAAACATGCCACAGCTTCTGCATCAAAGTATTTGTACTGAGGCTGCAATTCTTCAGGTATGCCCTACTGTTGCCTCAATTGCTACCATCTTCTCTTCCTAGTACCTACTGTTAAAGAAACAAACTCCCTGTTTGAAATTCTGCCTGATGGCTCATTCAGCCTTTTTACCTAGATCAGCTCTGCTTCCTCATTCCTCCTTTAGGCCCAGGCTAGGGACAGGCCTTCAAAAAGCCTGACCAGTGAGGGACCCAGCAGGGAGTTGATAACACCCCATCAAGAATGCAAAAGCCTCTCTCATTACTTCAAGCTCTTCTTAAACAACTTTGTCCAAGGAAGGAACTGAGGGACATTACCAGCAGACCTGTTGTTAAGCTCCAAAAAGCCCTAAGCAGACACTGTCCTATCTGCCTTACAGACACCTCTCCGCATTAGCTAGCACACCACATGCTGGCTACAGTCTGTGCTGTGGAAGAAGTGGGGGGGAATCTCTGCTTGAGCAGGGAGTGGTGGGGGAACTCGGGCAAGGGGAAGCCAGGCAGACACTGCTGTACTTGTAGTCTCCACCAAAGCTTCAGCAAGGAAACAGAGAGTTGGGGCCAGTCATGATCTGGAGCAGAGAGCCCAGCCCAGGGCTGCCAAGCATCTGAGATGCTGGAGGACTCTGGGTTGACTTCAACCAGGAAGGAGTCTGGGACAGACATTGCATAAACAGCTTTGACCCAAATCAGTTAAGTCTGATACTACATTCAACCAGGTTTATCTCAAGCTGGTTTCAGCCATTTTCAAATTGGTTTATGTGTGCTGAAAGTCTGTTCTGTTACAGGTTCAGACCAGTTTCTGATCACTTAAACCAGTCTGCGTGTAATATCTGTCCCTAGCCCCGGTGGTTAACTGGGCCTCAGATGTGATCAGAGGCAAAGACACTCGCACATCATCAGCTGCAAGACTCCTGTAGTACACAGCCTCCACGCTTCACAAGTTACAAACTGCAACCCAACAAGTAAATTACTTCACTCCAAAGGAATAGCAACTGCTCTGTTTTCACCAAGAACAAGCCCCACGCACCTCTTGTTTAATGTCTTCTGGTACCTTAGACATTTGTCTTATGAATTCCTTGACTAGACCATTGGCACTAGAATATCTGACTTAATAATATCATCTTAAATGCTAAATGTCCACCTTCCAATTGTCCAACAACGTATTAAACTTCTGTACACATTCTTTGGATAGTGTCACTAAATTTGGATTCACAGTCATTTCTTATCAAATGGCTACTTCCATCACCTTTATTTTACAAACATTCAAAAACATAATTTCCTCCTGTGAAAAGTGAGGTAGCAACTCAACTTCAAAAAAAACCAACCAGTTGCAACTATAGGATTATTTGACATAAAATTTGCTTAGTTTACTCACTGCAGTGACAGCAGCATTTAAGACTCCAAAACACGTGTCTACAGAAGCATATTCCTAGCCACAAAAATTCCAGAAGAGCTGCCTGTACCTGCAACTGCTCCATGTCATTCACACTAAACAACATGTTCTGTGTAAAATAGTGTAGTGCATCTACCCATAGACAGAACAGCCTTTGTCATAATTATGCACTACTGTGCTGTGCTTTTCCCACAACTAAAAGTACAGCCACTTAAGAAAAATTCTTGGCTGTTAAAAGACGTGTTAAACAGCTTGTCTCACATACATTGCAGAAGTGGGATACAGATTTATAAATATACTAAGTAATTGCCCATTAAGAATGACAGGGGCGGGGCAGGGAGGACCTGGGGGGAAGCTTGCTTACCCTAAACACCCCCCCCGGCTCCCCCTGCAGCCCCCCTCTGCCAGCATCTTGCACCGCTGCCACCTCCAGGGAGCAGGGCGGGGGGGGCGGGGGGGCAAGGCCTGTCTGCTCCACCCCACCCATCCCTGCTGTCATGGCAGCGCTCCACCACCACCGCCTCCTGTCTGTAATGCTCTTGAAGCACTCTGATTGGTTGTTTCAGTAACCAGTCAGAGTGTTCCAAGAGTGCTAAGGACAGACAGACAGACGAACGAAGCCTTTAATTATATTAGAACTAGAATATGTTTATCTATAATTGCAAATAAATAACTAAGTCTACATTTTTTCTAGGCATTCAGATATTGTCTAGGATAGTTTCCAAAGTTCTATCAAGAGCAGGCAAACAATACACTAGAGGTGTAATCAGCAGCCAGTTTCTCTACACAGAATACATTTTTCTCTAAAGACCTGCACAGTTTTCAGATAGTCCTCTCTCATCATCTAACCAGAACCAGATGTTTTAAACAGTGTAGATTCCAGTCAGGACAGAAAAACTTCAATAAGCAAGTTCCTAAGAGCACCCAGTTGTTGCAGACAATTAAACGCAAGAATTACACATATGCTGAAGCAATGCATTTAGAAAATAAAAACAAACAAAAAGACATTCCTGTTGAAAAAGTTATGTCTGAGAAGGATGAAGACAAAAAGTTTCTAACTTATAAACACATCAGACCAGACTATTAGGAGTTGAGGAAATACAAACTGCACAGTACACCAAAATCTTACAAAAAGAACCTCCAAACTATGAAAGGTCAATTTTTCACCTTCTTTCAGTCAGCAGTCTCTCTCTCTCATTACTGATTTTGACAAAAAAAAATGGTTACTTTATCCAGATTCTCTATTGAAGCTGTCAAACAGAAGAAAAAGGTTTTGGAAGCTCAAGCTTTTGGCATCCAGGAAAACAAAGAACTCCCTTTTTCTTGCTACAGCCTGACAATAACTAGGTCCAACAGTAACAAATAAGAATTTCTGTTAAAAATTGTCTAAAGAAAAAATATGCTGAAATCTAAGAAAGCACAATTAGAGTTCACTGTTAACACCAAAATAAGCTGGATGGGCAGTTAATATTACAGAGAAGAACTACATAGCAAAATTAAATAGATAATACTGCATAAACATAAAGGCCTCTCAATGAGCGAGACCCAGTTCTCAGGGGCTAAAAAGCACTGACAAATAGCAAAGCTTCTGCTCGGGAAAAACTACTCCCAAGGTACTGAATGTACTGACAAGATGCAAAAATAAATAAATAAATAAATAAATAAATAAATAAAATAAAAAAAAAAAATCACTGTAACAATATTACTTTCACTAACCAGTCAAAGTCACTATTTTAACATAATGGGACAGTACTACTTGGAGGCTTTTGCTTATAAAAGCTAAAGTGAAAACATATGCACATACCTGAGAATGGATGGTACTGTGATCTACATGGGATTCACCACAGCCAACATATGAACATCTATTCTGTTGAACAAAATTTGAGAAGTTAATAACTGAGAAGAATTAGAGTGCATGCATTACAGTATGTTAGATGTCAAATGCAAACCCAAAGAACAACTTTGTTAAGGCTTCCAAGTCCATTTTTAATTCACAGCACTTATGATTGAAGGGTCCTGAAAAGATCAAAAATCATGCAAGTTAAGTACTTTAATAAATACAGTCCATCAGATCAAATTAAGATTGCTGCAAGATTTAACTCTTGAACCTCCTTAATTCTGGAGTTAGGATTAGACATAATGCTTCTGATGCAGAGTTCTTCAGCCATTTTAACTTTTTTTTGAATAAAGAAAATCAAGTGTACAAGATGGTGTTAAAACCAGGAAACATGTCAGCTATTAATTTTCCTAATTCAAAGTTTGACACCCTGAAGAGTAACAATTTTGAGATATTATAGAAGTGTGCATTTATATGTACATCATATCAAATGACCATCAAACATTATTTTAAAAATCAGTAGGATTTGTCACCTTTAAAGGTTAACAGCCGTGAACATTTCAGCTTTAAATATGTGCTGTGACTGGACTACAAAATGCAAAGCTCTCAGTTCAAGTGCTCTGATTTAAAATGCATTTGCTAAGCTGGCTGTGGAATCTTGCAGCTGCCAATAATATGCTAACCACAAGCCATAGATGTTAATCTCTCATTTCCATAAGCACTAAATACAGGCATTTAACAAAGCATTCTATGAAATGTATGTATGCCATTATGCACACAGATTTACACAAACACAAATTGTGCTTGTATAAAGTATTCGTACTTAAATTAATTAAACAGCAGTTGTATGTTTATATTAACTGCTTTCCAACACTTTAATTGCAGCCATTTATAAAAAAATAACCATAGGTAGTGGTTAAGCAATAAGTCACAACAAGGTGTCTATCATGCTGGAATCTCACCGCGTGCTGAGTTGCTTTGCTACGCACGAGGGCGACGGCAAGGTGCCAAATCATCCAAGAAGAGGAGATATCACAACATGACACCTCTTTTGTAGTATCTTACTGTGATTTTAAAATTGCCCTATGGAAATATTGGTAGGAAATTACATTAAAATTTTCAATACATGTCCATGCTTTCCAGATTAAATGACAATATAAATTGTAAATTGAAAAATAAAAATCTGGGTTGTTTTTTTTTTTGTTTGTTCTGTTTGTTTTTTTAAACAAGCAAATACTTTTTTAGGCTTTGTCATTTTCTGTCTGTCATTCCAATTCTCCCCACGTCTTTCCACTTTGGCTTCTTCCTTTTAAAAAGTCTTTTTTAGAGGTAACTTGTTACCTTAAAAAAAAAAAAAAAAAAAAAAAAAAAAAAAGCTTAATTTAAAGTTAATAATCCTTAAATCAGAATACTCTCTGGTGACAGGAATAGCAGAAAAATCGGTTCTGTTCCCTGCAACTGATTCACTTGGAACAAAGGGGGGGAAAGGAAATTTTTAAAATAAAAGCATACTGGCTGTTCCGTCACATTTCAGTTCAGATTCAAGTGCTCACAAGCAGTGTATTTAAACCTACAGAAAAGAAATTAATCTCTGCTGAGATAGATCTACACACCTGGAATACCTATAAGAGGCATCATTGATTCAGCTGCTCTTCTCACAGCACAGAAAGGCAGTTCAATCAAAAGCAACATTGTCTCTTTCCAACTTAAAAAAAATAGAACATCACTTTGTCTATAGCTAGGAGAATAGAGCAGCACTAAATTTTAGTCCTAGAGAAAAGACTATTACATTACTTTAAGAGAAAACAGGGCAGAAGTTGCATGTGGAATAAATAAGATCAAACCTGAACAATGTTTTTTAAAAAGTCTGAGAAAAAATTTAATTTACTTGTTTTGTTTGGTGATAATTATGAAGTAATTCCGTGCACTGACAGGTCACATTTACAATTAGTGCACACTTTAATGGTATTATTTATATAAGAGCTCAAGAAAGCTAATTTGTTTGGCCAAGTTTATTACCCAGAAAGACACAGGCTTTGTAAATACTACTTCACATACTACTCACAGACAACAGCTAATAGCCATCAGTAGCCTTTCCAAAGCTGAATTTTTAAGCACATTAAAATTCTGACCTACCAGATAGATGTATGTTTGAATCTTATTACAAAGCAAATCACTTTAAAGTTAAAAACTTTTTTAACAAGCTTTGGTCTAAAGTAATTTTTAAAAACCTATCCTAAATATTTACACAAGAAGTATTGCAAACTTTCAGCTATAGCTTCATCAGATGAGGACCTTGTGTCTCACACAACATATGGTAGATCACCTTACCTCTAAGCATGCCCAAAGATTTGGTCCTCTGACTTTACAGTCTTGACAAGTGCCCTGTTAATAAAATATGAACACGGAATTATTTCACTAGTAAGGCTGCACAGTCCAAGAAAATAAGACTAAGGCAAAACAAAAAATCATTAGTACTACAAAATAATTTTAAATAAATCAGTGGCATATTATTTTGAATCAAGCCTACCATTTTTAGGTTAATCTTTATAAAACAAAAATTATGTGGATGCCAATTCAGTTTTCATTGCACTTTGATTACTAAAATGTGTCAAAACCCTCCTAATCTTGTAACCATTCTACAATAGGCCAGACACTGAAAGAAGTGTTTTATACGTAGAATAAAAATGTGATATTCCATTTACCATTAAAACATAATTTAAAATATAACATTTAAATATATCTAACATCTAACCTTAGGTTTTCAACGTGACACCAAAACAAACCCTGTTAACACTTTAAACTAAAAGATCACATAAGGGCCTGGCTTCCCCTTAGAATAGGACCATGCAACTAATATATCATAACATTAGTGTTATAGTATCTGTAGAGCTTACTGTGTTGCTACTCATTTCTGTAATGTTGAACTTCTGACTGGCAAACTATGTAGACAACTGTTGCACTTCTATGTAAATGAAATTCACTTTTAATTAAAGCACCATAGGCAAAAAAAAAAAAAAAAGGATTTTTTGCCAACTCATAGCTATCAAGATTATAAATTACTAAATGCTGGGTCTGCCTTGTTTAATAACAATATATAAAAGCAATAATATAAAGGCAGATGGGGCAAACAGTCTCAAAACAGTGGCCTTTGGATCACAAAGGCCATCAGAGTCTAGTAAGAACTGGCTAGTCATGGGGTGATCCTTCCTTGCCCCTTCACCCTCTTCTAGAAGCATAAGTAGTCACTTAAAAATATGTGCATTTTCGTTACATTACTTTCTCAAGTAAGCAGTTACTGTAGTTTATGGATATTATTAAATTGCAAATAGAAGGTATAAGCTGTCTGTTCAATTATGGGTAGGAGGAATCAGCTCATGAAACTCCCTATTAAATGAACAATCCCTGAGAAGGATGCTTTCTGAATGCAGGATATGAAGGTATTTTTAAGGTTTAACCAGGCCCATGTTTCCTTCTCACTTTAACTACAACTCAGATTTCATACACTGTAATTTACAGTAACTTGTGTGGTAAACCTTTAACATAAATATTTTGTCCACTGTAACACTTCCCAGTTAAATGTGTTGCACATATAGTAATTTGTCAATCCATCACTGACAAGCCACATACCTAACACACCCAAGTAATCTCAACTAAATGTGGAAGCAAATAAAAAACTTGAAACTCACGTGAGATTTTTGTATCAATTCTTCTTTTGTTATTTCGCCAACTGATTCCAAGTGTGGGCAATCGCTGCTGAGTGCTGACATTTTAAAAGCAGTAGGTCCCTAACTCCTGCAGCTTTCAAGAGCAGGCAATATCTACATAACAGGAATAAAAAATATAACCTTTGGGCATATCTTATTGTAGACATCTAATATCACTGTGCATCAGAGCTGTATACATATAATCTCGTAGCATAAAAGTTTGTATTTAAACTTATTTTTACACAATTTCTTTAAACTTATTTTTAAATTTTATTTATTTAAAGAATGTATTTAAACTTCTTCTTTAAACATTTCACTGACTGGCTCTCACATGCATACCAGCTTCTGGCTTCTTTATTATTAACACAGACCAACCACAGATGCTTCCTCAGCCTGACGAAAGGTACTTGTACCCAAAAGCTTACAAAGAACAAATTTTTCCAACTATTTTAGTTGGTCTAATAAAAGATACCAGATTTACCCAAAGAACTTTTTCTGCCTTGTTTAAACAAAAGCACGTGCTGAATTTTAAAAATGAATGCAAATAACTGGACTTTTTTTTTTTAAGCAACAGAATCCAGTAAACAAAATTAAAGTACAGGTGACCCTACTAACCTGCAAGCCTGAAGCTTACTGAGGCACAAAGCAATGAAACAATTCTATGCTAAGAACAAGAACAAAATTGGTTCCACAGAATGCAGAAACATACAACTCCCTTGCAGAGAGGAAAAAAAAAAGTCAACATGGGAAACTTTATCCTGGCCTAATTTATTTACAATGACACCCACTCTTGAATAGGCATATTAAATATCAAAAGCAAGCTGAAGCTTATCATTTGTATGTAGTACACACCACTCTGAACTTCAACAAAATTTTCCTTTGCTCCCAAGTCCTCTAACACAGAATGCATTTAAATATACTATTTTTTTGTTAGCAGTACATAGGAATTCTCTATAACCTGGTCAGATATGACACTACTAGTTGGTGGAAGCAAAAATTATTTGTACTGATTACCTACAAGACCCCCTTCAACCTGGTTTTCCTTTTCCAATGCCAAGACCCTCAACTAAATCCACCTAACCACTTCCCAAAAGAATGTCTAAACCCTGGTAGTTTTGATCTGTCTGCTGCTTTCTTCATGATTCATGACTCCTTTGCTGCTCTTATAATGGCTTCTGTAATTCTCTTTTCTCCAGTTTCTCCCTTTAGCAATTGTTTTGGTGTTTCCTCATTCTTCCCATTTACCTAATTTGTTGGCAACCGTTATTCCTTCCTGCTTCTCTATATTGTTTCCAGAGGACCTCACCAAACTCCTAGTTCCACATATTTTGTCCTTTCTCCATCCCTGAACAGTACTTCCATCATAGCCTGACCTCCTGACCTCTCTCTTAGGCAAGGAGTTTGCAACCTTTTGCCACAGCAGGCAGCTGCTTGCAACCCAGTTTCTGGCTGAAGCCACAAATCTCCACGGTTCCCAGTAATCAACAGATGTTGTGAAGGGAATAGAAAACCAGGCGGGTGGTAGGACCATGGGGATTCCTCCTGTGCAGCACCAGTGGCAGGAGAGGAATAAACTGAACAGAGCAGGCAGAGACCCTGGGTTGCCTCCTTCATTGCCCAGGCTGGAGTATCAGGTAGATTCCCCATGCTACCACCAACCAGATCCAGTTTCTTCATGGGCTGGATCTGGCCCTTGAGCCACAGGTTTTCAATCCATCTTAGGCCACAACTCCTACAGTAGCTACAAACTCATTTCTCTATCAACTTCCTATGTTTTTCTCCCTTCATTATCACCATTCATTTCTTTCATTTCTAAATTCAATATTTCCTCCATTTGACTCAACCATTTTGATTTCTCTTAGCCTGGAATCAGGAAAAACTTTTTCTAGCAGCAACCTAGCCTCTGCATTTTGTTGTTAGACAGCACAACAATTTTGGTAACACATTATAAGAAACTCTTATATTAAGGTCTAATGGTTTGAGAGCTGAGAAAGCCAGAAATGCTGTAGCAGACAAAGACAAAATTTGTTTAAGCTATGGATCTGGAGCAGTGAATAGAAATTGTCACACCTAAGAGCAAGGTGCAACTGGGGACATAATCCTCAAGTTTTATAGAACAAGTCCCGTTTCTCTTTTTGGGGTTTTTTGTTGTTCTCCCGCCCTGGCGGGGGGTCAGGCTAGAAGATCAACTAGGTCCCTTCCGACCCTTAATCTATGAATCTATGAATCTAAGTGTCTACTTGCAACACAGCTTCAAATTTCCTGACAAGTGTTGAAAAAAAGGTAGCTTGCTAGCTCAAAAAGAAATAAAAAAATATGTCTGCACTCAATGTTTAAAAACATTTAAAAACTCTGTTCATACTGTCATAATATTATTTAAACCCAAGTACATGTTAAAGTAAAAATGAACAGGGTATCTTTCCCAAATTCTTTTAATATTAATAACACCAGCTAAAATGCAAAAATCAATTCCTTTACTATACAGAAAAGGAAACAGGAACGTAGGCTTCATCTTGCACATATTGCAAGCCCTACCAAGGCATTAGATTTGGATGACTGAGTTCCAAATAAAGCTCATATCATCTCAAAAACCTCAGGACTGTATTAATGCTGAAGATCAATGCAAATACCTTGGAAGGAAGAGTATAATGGATTAGTAAGCCTAAAGGCTTAATTATTTGTATGTAATAAGATTTCTGAATGTATTACTTTAAGTAACACAAAGCAAGCTAGCGGAGAGCTCATCTTGTATTATTAGATCCGGAGCTAATGTACTGCTTTTCACCTCTCAAACTGCTTCAAGCCTAACCTGCAGTCCTGCAGGTTGGATGCAGATTTTTGTGATCATATACCAACTGTATGAAAAACAGAACCGATCACAAAAATCAAGACCTAATTTTCCACATGGAGCCTACACCAAAAAAACATTAAGCAAGCATATCAAGACCAAGCCTTAAACTTTTTCAACTTTAAGAAAAGGCTTCTTTATCACAAGCTAGTTGTTACTGACATACAAAAATGCATACACAATACATTCGACTCTTATATAGGTGCAACCAAGTGGTCTCTCCTGTCTTTCACCTTCTTTTTCTTTCCTGTGGCCACAATGCTAGCTCACACATGCTAGTGTCCCATCATTATCATATCTATTATAGTATTCTCTTCCCTTGCTTACTTGTCTTTTCCTATGGCAAACACTTTCTATCCCATTCAAAATGCATCTGTTAAAAAGCATTTTCTTTTCCCTTTTCTCTGACTATGCATTACTCAAATCTCTTCAATAAATTAAAGTTTCTCCACTTTAAGCAAACCATGCACTCCGCTACTGCCTACAAGTCTGCCCCTTCCCTATATTTTGCATTTCATTCCCTCTCTATGCTCTGCCCTGTGTCTTTGGGTGACTTCCAATTTCATGTTTCCATTTACATTGAATATTTACACTTACGGAAGTAGCAAAGAGCCCCACTTACATAATGCAAGATGCAGCGTGCCCTAGAAAAATTACAGTCTATATAGACAAGACAAAAATGGTAAAAAGGGAAACAAAGGAACAAGGAAAGAAGCAAAAGTGGGGGTGGGGAGTGGGAAGAGGAAAAAGAACCCAACTTGCCTTACTTCCAGTTCACTGCCTTATGCACTGTGGCATACATGGTCTTTTTTAAATGCCCCTTGTTCATTCGGAAAAACCTTCCAGTTAGTACACTCCTAGCTCTTTCTACTGTTACAAAAAGCTTGTTCCAGCCCACCCATCAGTCCATAACATATTCTCATTGTACCAACCAGGTCACTTGCTCCTCAGGGCAGGGACAAGATGGTAATTTAGCACATTTTCATTTACTGTATCATGTACAGCAGTGATTCAATACAAATAGCAATGAGCCTAGATTCGAAGGCTCATCCTAAATTGACTGTAGTTTTATATAATATTCTTTTATTTATTACATCAAGTCTGCTCAGTAGAACACTACCAGAGCAACGTGAACTGCGTCTTAAAGCACAATGTGCAGCAGCTTCTTTCTCTATTTATAATTCATTATAAATTCCACAGCACCATATGGGCTAATGATAAAAAGCCACTTACCTCACACGTAAAGGTCCTACCAACCAAAAAGGTCCCTAACCCCTCAAAGATTACTAGAGACTATTAATCAGTTCCCAAAGCTTTCCTTAGTCTAATGCAGCAACCCTTAAAGCCTTCTCCTTAGTTCCCCTCTGATTTTGTTACCACAATGATATACTCAAGAGAAAATCATATACGGTATGTATTTAATGTTAGCCATCCTGTTTGCCTTCAACTTATCTATCAGTTAACACTTCAAGCACTACTAAAGTAAGTAAATAAACATCCCACTACATTATGTGTAAATCCTTAACATGCACCTATTTGACCAAACAATTTCATGGGATATTTCTTCCTCTGAACGCTGAATATGAATGCATGCATTAATGACACGAAAGGTTAAACTATTAAATAAGTATGTTTACACCAGTAATGCACTACTGGTTAACATTTAGCATGGGGCAGTCAGGCTGGGAAGGGAAACAGCACAGTGCCTCAGGAACAGGAAGGAGGCAGGGCATGTAGGAGGGAGGGAGGAGCAAAGGTTGGGTGGGGCTAGTACCCATAGTTAGTCTGCCACCCTCCCTTCCAGGGAAAAGCCTTACTTACAAGGACAAAAACAACAGCAATAGTAAAACCTGGTAAGGATCCCAATAAAGCTGAGAACTACCACCCAATAGCATTATTATATGACTTACAAATTATTATATAACTTACAAATTATTAGAAAGACAGATATCTAATAGAACTTTTCAGATTCTAAATGAACATATTCCTCCTGAGCAAGCAAACCAGGTTTAGACCAAACAGAGGATGTTGCTATCAAATCATGGCCCTGACTACCAGGATTTGAAAAGTCACTAAAAACTGTAGCTGTTTTCCTTGATCTCTTGGCTGCGTATGATACAATCTAGAGTCAAGGACTTACTTTAAAGTTCTTGGACATCATACCTTGTCTAGTAAACTAGCAGTTTTAAGACAACTTGCTTAGCAGTTGATAGTTTCAGATTTTTTCTGATAACATTGAGTAGGCCACATAAATTGAACAACGAACTCCCAAGGGGATCAGTCCTTGCAACTCTGCTGTTTAATTTTTACATTCATGACCTCCAGGCATCTTCTCAAGAAAGGTCATACATGCTGATGACACAGCCCTCGTTATGCAACAATCTTGTTTCTCCAGAGCAGAAGCAATACTCACAACTGATCTGAATACTTTAGAAACCTACTTTAAATAATGGCATCTGCACCCAAGCCCTGGGAAAACGGAAGTGTCTACATTTCACTCGAACAATAAGCAAGCTAATTAGCAACCCATTATTGTTTTCAAAAAGTCAGCTCTTAAGTTATAAGAGTACTCCTAAATTTTTAGGAATCATCCTAGATAGAACACTGTGCTATAAAAATCACTTAACTATGATAGCAGCTAAGTTAAAAAACTTGTAAAAATTTGCTCCAGAAACTCACTGGGACTTCCCAGGGAGCTGATGCTGATGCACTGAGGACAACAGCCTTAGTGCTGGTTTACACTTCGGTGGAATACTGTGGCTCAATTTGGTTAAATAGTGCTCACACTGATAAAGTTGATAGTGACATGTAACAGACTGAATCATTACATGAACAATTTCATCTGCCCCTCTTCAACAGCTCCCTATTCTTAGAAACATACATCTTCCCTCACGAAAAAAAATGCCTTAATTAAATTATGAACTAAAATAAAAAATAACCCACAGCTGCCTATACAAAAGATTTCTTAAACCCACATCCAAGGCTAAAATCTAGACATCCCAACTGGAGAACAGCAATTCAACTTGAGCAAGATTCTTTTAACATCCAAGATGCCTGGATGCAAATGTGGTTCAATTCATCCCCTAACACACAAAATATTACTACAAATCCCACTAAAAGACAAGCCAGCTTTTATCTCCCTAGATGTCTTTGGTTTTTTCTAAACAGAATCGGGACAGGACACAGCAAATGTGTATTTCTGTTACATTGGTAGGGTTGAACTAGCTCACAGAACTGCAATTGTGGTGACTCCTTTCAAACTTTGAATCGCATCACCCCTGAATGCTCGCTTCATACACTGAATGGAACCCTATTGGATCTGAACAATACTACACCTAAGGCAATGAGCTAGCTGCGAAATTTGGACATAAAATTGTGAATATATTTCTCCTTGCTTTGTGATCACTGTATCATCAAGTGCTAAATAAAAAAAGTGGCTGCAGCAGGTTGGGAAAGCGGGCTGCTGTCACCCCTGGCTTCATAGTGGGCTTAGAAGTCTGGTGGGACCTGGTGCCACCTCCCCCCAACTCAGTCAAAGGCCGCAGAGAGTGGTCCCCAGCACCAGCTGTGTCTCAGCGGGTCTGTGAACAGCCCTTGTCGCAGCCACCTGCCCGGAGCAGCGTGGGGAGCCATCTCCCCTGTGGCAGGGTGGGGCAGGCGCCAGCCCAGGGCTCTGCACCCCCCAGCCAGGACTAGGCATGCATTATTAATCAACTGTTTAACCGATATAACTAGAGATAGTTACATGGGTAATTTTTTTAACACTATTTACACCTCTAGCATGTATACATGAATGGAACCCAACTATGTCAGTTTTGTAAGGCTCCTAAATATACTGGCATTACAATTCCTTCCTTTTTTGTGCACTTGTGACAAAATATTTAGCAGAATTTACATGTTCATTGGAATCTGACAGGCTACGCTATGAGTGCTTCTGCCATGGCCTCGTCATTTTGATTAAAAACACAGAAATCAAATCATGATAAACTACACTGGAATCTTGGTACAATTTTTTAATGTAGTTTATTGAATTAATAATGTTTACTAACAATACGGGTAATTGTTTTGTATGGCATTACATGCTAATCCTGAAATCTTCATTGTATTAACACACTGTGATCAATGACAACAAAGAGAACATATTTTTAAAAGACATTGCTTTGAACTCTGGGAAGTACTAAATACAATCAAATTAGATCCCTACTCCATGAATACTTGCCTACTCAGAGAAAGTTACAGGTTCTGGGCTTTGATCTGTACCTGCAATTATTTCCAAGACTATGCAACAAAGCAAGAGTACTTTATTTCAAATCCTCATTCCCCCAAATCAGACTCTGTCACTGCAATCATATATTGGAAGATTTAGACACAAAAACAAATTTAAAAAAAAGAAATCAAGAAGTTCTGCATCTTCCAGCAACCACCACACTTTAAAACAAACTTTATTCAATGTGCAGCCATACAGAAGTTGTGCATCCAGTACACAGAGGCTTCAGAAAACCTTCCATGTTTTAGTTTTCAGATGTTACTGATTTTGGAGCTGCCCAAGTATGCACAAGTCATAGGAAATAACAAATACTACAAATACATAACAAATGATGCAAAATCAATGCTTACAAGAATCGGAGCACTTGAGAAGTCTTGCCACTGCACTCACAGGAGCACAGGGAAGTTGGACTGGAAGGGACGCCCAGGGGTCACCAAATCCTAGGAGATCAGAGCAGAAAGGGCCCTCAGGAGGTCACATCTAGTCCAACTGCTGCTCACAGCAGCACCACATCATCCCAGCCAGGGCTTTGTTTTAAAAACCTCCAAGGATGGCGATACCACCACCTCTCTGGGCAACCTGTTCCAGTCCTTCTCCACCCTCCTAGTGAAGAAATCTTGCCTAATATCCAACCTAAACCTCCCTCGCTGCAACTTGAGCCGACAGCTCCTTGTCGTGTCACCTACCCCCGCAGAGAACAGTCTCCCGGGGGCTGCACTGAGCTGCCGCTGCCCCTCTCCTAGCTCAGCAACCCCGGGCTAGCCCACCCCCTCCCTGAGGCAGGATCCTCCCCACCCGACACGCGCCCCCGCGGGGCACCGGCCCAGGCTCCGAAATTAAGCCTGCAACGCAGCCCGGGCCGGGAGGCGCTCAGCCCCGCCGCAGGCCCCGTTCGGCCCAGCCTTTTCCCTCCTCAGAGGAGCGAAGCCGGGCGAAAGGGCAGCCCACAGCCGCCACGACGCAGCCCCTTAAGTCCCTCCGGCTCGTGCCCTCGGAGCTGGGTGGTAGAGCGAGCCGAGCCAAGCCGAGGATCCCACCTCACCTGGGCTGCCTAACGCCTTCGGCTCCCACCGTTCTCAGCCCCAACCGGCGAACGCGCCCCGCACAAAGATGGCGGCGCAGAGGCGTCCCTCCCTCCCCGCCCCTCACACACGTGGGGCGCCCCGCACAAAGATGGCGGTGCGGAGCCCGCCCCCAGTCTACCCCTCACCAAGATGGTGGCAGCAGCGGGCCGCGCTTCTGCCCTGGGGCCTTCGCGTGGGCAGAGCTTAGGGTTGCCAGCACAAAGATGGCGGCGGTGCGGGTGCACATTTGGGGCTCACCCCTCCACCCGGCTCCGCGTTGACCCCGGAAGCGGATATGCTGCTGGCTCCTAGCAGCCGTCGTGGGGGCGGGGCGGGGGTTGGAGCGGGTGGCGAAGGGCTGCTGCTGCTGCTCGCTGAGCCCGGTAGGTAAGGGGGGGCGCGGCCTAGAGGAGACGCGGAGTCCCCTGAGGGTCCGCCCCGCCTCGCCCCACCCCGCCTGGAGGCACATCGCCGTACCCCGCGAGGCCGAGCAGCGCTCGCCATCCCCGCCTCTGTGGTAGGGAGCGAGCGAGCGCGCGCCTCCTGCTGCGGGTCCCTCCCTGCCTCTCCTTGCAAATCCCTCCCCGCAGGCCGCTGTTGCTCCCCACAATGTCCGGTGCTGCCCCCTGCCAAGGGCAGAGCGGGCTGGAGGACGGGCCGAAACCTGCCACGCCCTGCTCAGCTTCTTAGTAGAGGCGAAGGAGGAGGGTGCCGGCCCGCCTCTGCGCCCTCTGTAACCCCAGGCTTTGACAGCCTGCAGAGAAAAGGCCGGGAGAGGTGTAATTGAACACATCGCTTTCATTTGACAGGGGATGCCAGTGGCAGGTTGTGACTGATGCGGCCTCAAGGTAGTTTCGCTTAATGAGGTTATGGGAGAGAGAGAGCCATGTCCGAAGAAGCAGTTAGAGAGACGCACTTTTCTTTGAAGACGGCAGCTTTACGAGTGTTTCATCTTCCCCTTTCCTGGTATTATTCTCTCATTCAGGTAATGAACGTAATATTGTGTTATCCTCATTTGTGGCATTTTCATGCATGGATCTGAAATGGTGTCAGTATTTTAAACGATTGAGCTCCCGGGGGGCATAATATTTGGTTACATCTTCATTAAACGTTTTCCCCCAGGAATATCTTTGTTCTGGTTCTCGCCCAATGCGAACGCATGAGAGACAAAACTATTTTTGTTTGTTTGTTTGTTTTTCTCCCTTCTACTCCCTCAAGTCAGTTGTATGTCAGATAACAGAAATGACTCTCTCTGCAAACCCATAGTCTTCATTGCAGAGTAATCATTGCAGCATTGTAGTACTTCTGATCAAACCAAATATCATGCTCTTCAGTTTTGTTTTTCACAAGAAAATTTGTCAGTTTCTTAAAAGTTTAAATGCAGAAGTCATTAACCCAAATAATCGTATTGGGCATGTTCCAAAATCTTTTGTAGATTGTAGCTATTTTTTCTTTTTTGACTGTGTTTGTTTTGATGAACTATTGCATCAATTGTGAAGATTCACCCAGCTGACAGTGTTTTCGATTGATTTACAATAAGCGATATACTACTGAGAGATGCTTGGTTTAAATCCAGTCTGGTTTGTTTTTTTAATGTCAATAGTCCCTTATAGTTGAACATAACGAAGCTTTAGTTAATCACTTCTTTGGCTTTTATGCAGATGGTTTTAGCACTGATTTATTGCCATCCATTTTCTTGGTTTTATATGCTAATTTGCTGTATGTAAAAATAGTACTGGTGGATAATGAATGATTTATCTTTAATAGTAAAGAGTCCATTGTAGTCTTAGTTTCCAGACTCATAGAGCTTAGCAGCATCATGGAGTTGACACTCCCTGTCTGCAGGGGAACGTGTCCCTAGAACATTCTTTAACAGAAAGTTAGGGTGGAGAATCAATATTTGTGCTTTGACTACAGCCAAGGGAGGAGGCAGTTCTTAGTCAGATATAACTAGGGCATGTTTCTGAACAACACAGTGAAACCAAACCTGTTTAAATAACTGTAAGCTTTATGAAATGGGAAAACTGCTTCCATATTTTTTATTCATAGAAAAAGTCCACGTTCTGTGCTGTAGTATGTTGAAAAAGATGCTACTTTTCTATTAATATAAGGAGGGAGATTGTGAACTTGTTCTTTATTTAATCCATGCAGCCATCCTAATAGGTGTGAGCATAAGCAAAATACGATCCATCATCAGGGCTCTGGCACTTTTTTAAGAGGAAATATGTTACTGAGTCATTAATGCGGATCCTGATTTTCTCTGTTTAAAAATTCAAAAGTCTCTGATTAAAACCCCACAAATTCATGTTTTTTCTGCCATTAAAATGGAATGCCACTATATATAGGTATCGGCTGAACACAATGTTTTATTGATATATTTACCAGTTTAAAGCAGTGTGGAAGCCTACCAGTGCCTCAGTCATTATAATAAAATAAATTCTAAATACCTATAAACTTTGGCATTTAATTTTTGTATTTTTTATCATAGAAAATGGGAGCACCTCCTGCCCCATTCCCTCACGAGGACACGGGTCCAGCTGCAGCTGTCCCCACAGTTGTGTTGTGGCACAAAGCATCACTAATTTGCTGTTGCTCTGCCCCTGCTGTTGGCCCTCACTCCTGACCAGCAGCCCCTGACTGCCCCCGACTTGCTTTCTCCCGGCAGCAGCAGCGCCCCCCCGCACCAGGCCACAGGTCCAGCTGAAGGTGTTCTGCCTGATGCTTTGTGGCTTTGAGCAGTGCTGGCCTTGCTTTTCTGCTCCCTGTGCCCAGGCCCCAGCGGTCTCCATAACCTTCCTGGGAAGCCCTTGACAGGGCTTAGGGACTGGACTGGACTGGACTGGACTGGGCCTGCCTCTGACTGGGCAAGCCCCTTCTCTTCTATGCTAGTCTCCCTCTGCAGAGGCAGCTCTAGGAGGGCAGGGGGGCTCCAGGCCCAGTTCTAGTGACCATTTCTATCTGGAGCACCTCCCCACCCCACCTTTCTCTCTTGTAGACCCTTCCCCATTGCCATCCCCAGCCCATTACATATGCACACACACATAGACCCTGCTGCCAATTCAGTCCTCTTTGCAGGGCCCCCAGCCAACCCCCAGCCCTCAAAAGCTCTACTTACCCCAACGGCTGCAGGAGGGAAAGTGAGTCTGAGCCAGAACTGGCTGGTCTTAGATTCTCAGGCTTTGCCCCACCCTCTCCAGACAAGGCTTAGGGTTTTCTGCCCTTTTGCAGGTAGCTCTTGCAGGCTGGAACTCTGCCCACCTGCAGAGAGCTGTTTGCAAAAGGGAAAACCCACAGTTTCCTTCAGAAAGGAAAATCCACATTTTTCTCCTTTAAAGGGGAAATCGATATTTTTCTTCATTTTTCTGCAGGAAACAGAAATCCTAGATCCCTAGTCATTAAATCTCAATAACTGTCCAAATCCAGTGGCATTGATAAAACCCTATTTTATGTTTTAATAATACAAGCTGCCTGAAACATCTTTATCGTATTACATAAATGTATATGTGTACATGTATATGTATGTATGTGTATGTATATGTATGTTTTAGTACAAATATTAAGAAGAGTGAATATTCTTAATATCTCTCATGTGACTACCCCAGGACTTTGAATTTTTCCAACATGGAAAAAATAAATTCCTTACTAAGAGCTTTCTGATTGCGTGGTCTGTATGCTGTATTGGTTTTTCTAGAGCTCCTGCATATCTCAAGTCTTTTATTAACTCTGGGATTAATTATACATCCCCGGAGATTCCAGTGTATGTCTGTTCACTTGTTTACCATCTTCTGCATGTCCAGTGGGATGGAAAAAAGTCACAGAACATCTAGTTACAGTTATTAAAACTTCTGAAATGTAACGTCCACTTGGTTGAAATGCATTTATAAATGCATTTCTAATTATTATATGAAATGAATATGAACTTAGGTGTAATATTTTGCTTAATTTAATCTTTCGTACAGTGTTACTGCATCTTTACTGTTTTTACAGAGAGTGGTTTTTTTTTTTTAAAGCATTAAAGTACATTTTGTGTTTTAATACCTGAGCTAAATCCTTTGCTTTGGTTTAGATTAGGAGTGGATAATTATTTGGGCAGGAGGGTCACTTGGGGAGTTTGGGTGTGCTGTTATGGGCTGGGTCAACATTCCCTCCCCCCACTCACAAATACTCACCAAAACTCCCTTTGGCTTTGCCCTGTAGCCCGGCCCTGTGCTCTCATTGCCCAGTGATCCCAGGGTCGCCATGGAGGTTGGCCTGGACCCACATGGGCAAAGCATGCTTCAGGGGCGACGCGTAGTGGGTGCACGTGCACCTTGTGAGTATGACAGTGCACTCCCTGCTTGCAAGCGATTGCCACTTGCCATCCTGCCACTGACACTGCCAGCGGCGTCTGTGGGCAGTCCACGATTGCCCCTGGCTGCCGGGAGCACCTGTGGGTGGACAGTGTCATCAGCGTCTGCTGGAGCTCCCAGCTTACTGCCGCTGTCGCTGCTCTCCTGCTGCTGCCAGCATAGCCATGCTCCCACAACCACTGGGGGCATGTGCCGTTCATGGCACGCTTGGTCAGGCAGATGGGGGGCTGTGGGTGGGACTTGAGCAGGATGGGCAGGCAGGGTTGGGGATGGGATGAGGAGTATGGGGCAGTGACAGAGCTGTTATCCACTTCCTGCATGCTCCTGCGCATGGAATTGGCATGTTGCAGGAATGTGCAGATAGTGGATTTTGGCTCTGTCCTGGGCACTGCAACTGCCTCCTCATCCCAATGCTGGCCTTGAACCTGCCCGTCCATCCTGCTCCCAGATGCCACTCCCTGCCCTGCCATGACCGCATCCCATCTGTCCAGATGCAGACCTTGCCCACATGGGTCCCAGGCCAGTCTCCATGGAAGTTCTGCCCATCTACTTCATCTGGTGCCCCCAGTGATGGGTGTGGGGCAGATGGGTTGGGGTACCCAGGCAGTGGGGCCAGGTCTAGCTGTGGTGGCAGAGACTGGCAGTGGCAGCTTGAAGGAGCCATCAATGTGGGGGCATCTGAGAAGTGAATCCAACCACTGCACTGCTGCAGCCCCACACACCACATCTTAGGCTGTCCCCTGCGCAGAGAGCCACGTGGGGCCAAGGGACTTGCTGCAGGCCAGAAAAATCCCTTGGCAGGCCAGATCTGGCCCACGGAATGCGTTTTGCTCACTCCTGCTTTAGATACAGTCAGTAAACATGAGGTTGGGGATGCTGCCTTTTCAGTTGTCTGACCCAGGTCAGGGCTCGCAGCAGCAAGGAACTTCCCCATCCAGCCCCACTCTGCCTTACCACGCCAGGTCCCACCTGTGGCACAGTGGAGGCCCTGGGGAAGGGCAGCAGGGCGGGGAACCCTGAGCCTGCACTGGGCAGCCTGCATCTGTGGGGTATGTGCTCCCTCAGGAGTGCGCACAACAACGGGGAGCCAGCCCCGCTCCCTTGACAAGCTGCCTGCAGACCCGTCCCACTCTCTGCCAGAGTTCTGCAATCACACAGTGCAGCCCCACATACCACATGGTTGGGCACCAGCCCCAGCCCTGCCCAACGTGAGACTATGAGGGCCTCGATTCCCCACTCCTGCCAGACTTACCTGCAGGAGCTGCTCTCCAAACTGCCTGGAAGCCATGTGCACATATATGCACATGGTGCCCCCTACCAGCCTGCCCTCCTCCCGTTCCCACCAGCCCCTTGCGGGCTGGAGCTCTGCTAGTCTGCCGAGAGCTGTCTGCAAAAGAGCAAGATCTGTGTGCATCTCCTTCAAAAGGTAAAATCCGTGTTTTTCTCTGATAAAAGGGAAATCTGTGTTTTTTCCCATGGGAAATGGAAAACCTGGATACCTGCTCATGATTCCTTGCATTATAGTAAGCTTGGTCACTCTGATTCTTTCCTAGTGAACTGAAGCAGAACTACTTTGTCCTGGGTGGGTGAGGGCGGGTGGAATTACCTTACATTCTCCCTGAGAAGTGGGTAGGTGACTAGCTCCCCTGGCCAGGCTAGCTAACCCAGGAGCAGCACCCTATAATAGCCGTGTAGTGAAGAGGTGCTCTTGATGTATTTCAGATAAATCTTTCTCCTGGGTTGAAGAAGCTGTTTGCAGTAACAGCAGTGAGTGCAGTATCTGTAATTTTTCTGGCCCACCATTTTAAAAGAAGACGAGGAAAAAAAAGCCGGAAAGTGTCACCATGGGAACCAGGCCATCTTTTACTAGAATGTACAAAAACAGTTGCATCGGAAAAAGGTACATGGGGAAAACCAGAAGTGCCTTTTATTTTTCGTCTTCTCCATGGGAAAATTATTATTATTGAAGTAAACCCAAAACTATTTACATTTTAATTCTAGGGTGAGTGGATGGGAAAGAGAAATGTGTGCATTTTGTGATACTAATGAAGAGAAAGCGTAGAAACAAAAATTAGAATGGTGCTTTACCTTAGGCAAAGAATAGCTCTGCATGCTAATGTTTTAATGATCTCTTGAAAATGCTCTTTGAATCCAAAGCCGAAAGCTAACAATCACCTGTTAAGCTTCAAAATGTTCTGAAAATCCCTCCAAGGTTGAAAGAAATGGAGTGATTGCTTATAGAACTAATGTACTTATTAAGTTCTAACTATTGTTCTTGCAGGTGTTCTAACTACATTCATATATGTAAATAGTTAAGTAAGAAAAGGTTCATTGTGGTTCAGGACTAACTATTGTAATGTACTGGATTAGACAAAGTTCTGGGTAAAGCACCTTGGGTACAATGATTCCAATTGCAGACGTTTTAAAATTGGTTTATCTGTTTGTTAGGTTCCAGTTGTTCCAGTAGCAGACAAAACTTGACCCTTTCTTTGAGTTCAGCCAAAGAAAAAGGATCTCAGTCTTGTATCTATGCAAATGGAGGACCTTTTAGTAAATATTCTGGTTCAGTACAGAGTTTGGTCTCGGTAAGTATAAGCCATCTTTAAGGATTTCTTGTACAATGAACTAAACAGACTTCTGAGCTTTAAGTTCTGCTGCCTACTGTGAATGCACTCAATGCTTCTGTTGAACTGATATGGTTTGCCTATACCAGGAATGCTAGGCATACAGAAAGATGTCATCTATGGGGAAGTCTAGCTTACTTTCTGTAATAAGAGCAACGAAACAAATTCTGTGCTCTGTAGATCAAGCATACAGCCAGTAGGCCAGATTCAGCTTGTAGAACTGTCCAATCTAGTGCATCATTAGCCTGGTGGGCTACTAGAAGCTGGGAAGTATGGCCTGTTGCAGAATTCAGGATCTGTGGACCCTAGTAGACATGGCAGTAGGCACCAGCCCTCCAGTTCCCACTGCTGCCCTAATGCAGATTCCCATGCTGACACACCCCTCTGGATGTGCGCTGCTGCCCAGCCAGAGCCCTGTGCGGCTGCATGCCCCCTGCTTTGTGCTGCAGGCTAGCCAGGGTTCTGTGCTGCCACATGGCTCCAGACCAGTGCACAATTCCATACAGTTGCTTCTGGCCACATGGATCTGGCCTGTGGTCTGGATGCAGCCTGAGGTGATTTGACACCACTGTTGTAAACTATTAGTACAGCACAATTCTGAGGAGCTCACGGAGCCCTGGGGCTGAATAGCTCTTGTGCAAGGAGCAGTAACAAAAAAAACAGTTTTCCGTAACCTTTCAGAGAATGCCAGGAAGGAAAGGAATTGGCAGCAGCCCCTCAGTTTGAGTTCTGGTAAGAAGGGGAGTTTTTTCTCTTCTACAAATGCCTGGTATATACTATGGTAAAGATCAGTGTCATTTAGGCTGTGGATGTTTACTAGGTTCTTTTGACTTCTGTGAGGTTATGCTACCATGGAATCAGATAATTTGGGCATTCACCATCAAATTTAACTTGGAATTTCTCCACTTCTGAAGCTTCTTCCTCTTCTCTTGCCCCCAGTTGGAGAAAGTGAAGCCAGTTACACTCTACTTCAACTATCCCATGTTTTTAAAGACTCGCATACCTAATTCTTTCCTCTTCTGTGCCAGCTGTCCTTGTTCGAGCAACTTTTAGTACAGGGATCTTAATAATAAACTTCTCTACATTTGAAAAAGTCTGGTAGCCCAGTGTTAACTCTGGCCACTGTCATTAGTGGCATCTGTGTCAGGCTACTTACAGACAGTCTCTGCTCTCTCCCAGAAGAAACAACAAGTACTGTATACAGATGTTCAGGCCTTTTCTCTCAAAGGAAAAATGGCTGCTCCAGGAGGGAGAAATCACTTCCAGGAGAGTTTAACTTATGAGAGCAAATGGGTATACAACTTACCCTTCTGAGAGAAGCCACAATAGTGTTCTCCCCCAGCCCAGGAACAGTGTGTAGCTTGGCAGACTCTGCTATTCCAACTGAGCAGGGAGCAGAAAATGCCCCATTTACAATTCTGTATTTTGCTGCAGGGAAATATAAGCTGACCCTGAGCAATCTGGGTCAGCCAGTCAGGGCTGCCCTATGTATTGCTGCTGTCTATCTCTGGGCAAACTGAGGGGGCCTGTAGAGCATCCTGAGATGTGTGCGCAGGCCCCTCCTGGCTGCACAGCATCAGCACAGAAAACTCTTCTTCAGGGGCTCAGCATGTGAATGTATGTTCAGGCATCTCTGAATAAGTATGTCTACCAGGAGAGCAAACCTGGGAAAATTCTCCCAGGTCATTTGAATGTGTGTATTGTTTTAGTTTCCAGTCTCAGTTAATGAGCCTTTCACATCTCCTGCATGTTATAGGCATCTGTCATGTTGTGCAGAGAGCCTCTACATTAGTTGCACTTGCTTTGTGGTTTCCTTAGTAATCAGGATTTTTTTTTTTAATTAAATGAAAGCTGAAACTGAGGAATTATTGCAAAGTCTGTCCACACCCAGCAACTTAATTATTTATGTGCCTTCTACTCACCCACTTCCAAAGGAGGCTCTGGATTACATATTACAAATTTTGTTAGGTTAGTGCTAGTACTTTAGTGAAGGTGTCTCCTTTGGCCCACTGTGATGGTAGATTGGGATCATAAGCCATGATGAATGTATTCTCTTGTCCTGTTAGTGTATGCACATTTTTACATGTATAGGGTTTTATTGACACCTTTCATTTTGTAATGAATTTTTTTTCAGCTAACGTTAAAAAAAAAAAATCAGAGTGGGATAGTTTGCATTATATACATGCTTAACAGCAAATGATAGAAATTGTCCAGTAAATGTCAGGCTTAGAGAGATGTATATTTTTAAAACATTTTTCATATGAGTTTATAATTGTTTGTTAAACAGTTTTGAACAGTGATTCTTATCACTGATTATTTTCTCGGTGGGATAATGGGTTATTATTGATTTGATTTTGTCACAAAAATGAATTAGCTAGTGAGACGAAGTATCATCATATCCATGATGTAGTTATTAATATTGGAGTTAGGTTTGCAAAGAAACATTTCTCTTGATCTGAACAGAACCATCATACTTTGAAAAATAATTTGTTGCTGAAATTAGGGAAGTATCCCTGATTTGTAGCTGCATGAGGAAATGCTACTGCATCAAGACAGATCAAGTCTTTGTTTAATAATGCACCCAATTTTTTAGGTTCAAAGTGCCACCTCCTGTCACAGCTGTGCTTGTGCCAATTCCAATTCATGGGATAAAACAGATGAAGATGATATTAAACTTGTCAATATTCCAGTTACTACTCCTGAAAACTTGTACTTAATGGGTAGGTTATAATAAAATGTGATGCCTGTAAGTTTTGCTTTTTGCTAACTATTTTCAGCTACTTTGTTTCATGGTAAAATTATTCTATGCAATATTGTCATGATAGGGTTTGAAGGGGTCCTGCTATTATTAATCTTTCTACTATATGATAAAGGTACTTCTTCCTGGTACAGCTTGAATACCAAAATGTTGGAATGATTTTATCTGAAGATAATTGGAATTAAGATGAGAAATGATATTTTTATTGCTGAGTGAAGTGAAATTTTTCCCTGGTAAAGCAAAAACATGTATATTTTTTAGTTAAATAAAGAAATTGACCTTTCAGTTGTAATTAACTCAGTGGGGGCTTATCTGTAACAAAGTAAGTAAAAGACAGAAATTCCTACTGAACAGCTTTGTTGCTATATTTAATCATTGCTCTGTAAGGAACTTCCTTCTGGTTTCTACTAGAAATTTACATTTTTTTTAATTTTTTTTTTTGGGAGAGAAGAAAAGCTTTCCAAGTATGATGTATTTAAGCCTTTTATACCCATGGCTGGTTGGAAACACTGAAAAAAGATGCAGAGGGTGTGTCTACACAAGATACTTGACTGTGAAGTAGCGTAGTTTACTGGGCAGTAAGCATATGCGTCTATATGTGCACATCCTTACAGTGTAGTAAACCTTGCTAATCATGAAAAAAATTGCTACTTGCATTTTCAGGTAGGTAAATTTGCTACCTGCAAATGCAAGTAGCAAATTTTACTTGTAATTGCTTAACTGCTCAGTAGTGGTTGTGTAGAAGCCTGAACAGAAGCAAATTTGCTCCTGGTCAGCCAGCCACCAGGGGGCAGGAGATTGCTCCCTGCCTGCAGGAACTGCCTGCTGCCAGGGTAGGCTCTGCCACTGGAGGCAGCAGGGAGCTCCAAAGTCCCCCACCTCCTTGCTCTGAGATCTTGATCAGGGAGTGGGGATTGGAAAATTTGTGGAGCTGAGCAGGAAACAGGCTCTCCAGCCCCCACCCTATAATTGTGTAGCCAGGGGCTGGGAACTGTCCCAGTCAGGGGCAGGTCCCAGATCTGTGCCCCAATTGGGTGATTGAGGCATGGGGCTTGGAAAGAGCTACAGGGGTGAGGCAGGTCCCAGCCCCATGCCCCAATCTGTCAGTAGAGCATCTGGTAGCGAGCCTTGAGCGGGGAATCTCGACTCATCCAGGGGCTCACTGCTAGCTGTGCCACCAGTGGATCAGGGCAGGGGCCTAGAACCTGCCCCACCCCTGCAGCTTTTTCCAAGTCCCTTAACCCGATCAGGGAGCCAGGGCTGGGAGCTCCCAGTTGCGGGGGCCAGTGGACTTTGTCTCTGCTCCTGCAGCAAGCAATCGCCCAGGTCCCAGCCATGGTCAGGAGACAGCTGTCTCCTGGCCTGGTGCTCCCTGCCAGCCCCTGGGCTAGCACCCAGGGGAAGCCCAGAGCTCCCCCTGGTGGCAGCAGGGGCCAATTGCAGGGCCCCAGGAAGCAAGAGCAGTTTGCTGGCACTGGTAGCAAATCTGGTCCCGCTTCCTTACACATGTAGACACCTGCTGTGGTGCATTTACTCATGAGTAAACTGCTCCCAGATCTAACGCACATGTAGACACACCTAGAAGCTTTGATTTAATAGAATGCAGATGTTGTTTTTTGGGTTGTTTTTTTTTTTTTTTTAAAGGTATGGAGCTTTTTGAAGAGGCCCTACGTCGGTGGGAGCAGGCACTGACTTTCCGTACCAGACAAGCTGAAGATGAAGCAAGTTGTAGTTCCATCAAACTAGGAGCAGGAGATGCCATTGCAGAAGAGAGTGTAGAAGTAAGCATTAAACTGTGTTGTTTAGTTTCTGCTTAGCCAGATCACTCTGACAATTAAATATTTTCAGCTTCTGCTGTGATAATGAAACTAACTCCCTCAATTCAAGCTTGCTGCTTGGAATACCTGCACTCAGAGGACCTCCCTACCATACCCTTTTCCCCCAGTCCTATTTTGCTAAGACAATCAATGCTCTCTCATTGTTTACTACTACTATTACCACCACCACTGCTATCAGTTTTACCATCATAATTCTGTCAGCAAGTTCCCTACAGCAAATCCCTAGGTCACTTCTTTCCTATGTAAAAATAATTGATAACTGTAACTATGCAGTAAAAGCTGTTCCTGGGAAGAAAGATTCATTTGGAAATATTGTAATAAAATAGAATTGAATTTTACTTTGTTTAACTTTTGTTTGTATAAATTCTAACCTAAAATGCCAGAGCAAACACTGGGTTATCCTAGGTGTTCATAATCACTAGCGTAAAAAAGTGGTAGTAGTAATAATTTCTTTTTTTTTTCTTGATTTATTTATTTTTTTTAATGCAGGTGTTATTTTACTTAATAGGCATGTATGCCTGGTAATTTAGGCATCCTAGATGCATATCTTATCTGATATTACCCTTTTCACTTCTGTTTTAATGGACAGTTAATGGAGTGCTATGAGCTCTTTGAAGCTTAATATTTTTAAAATGATAAAAATAACTGCACTTGAAGGGCATGCACCAACTGCAGATGCTTCCTCTGACTAAGATGCTTCCTCTGACCTCACATGCACAGGTTTATACCCATAAACTTGCAAAGAAGAATTTTTCCAACTATTTGAGTTGGTCTAATAAAAGATAGATTTACCCAAAGAACCTTGTCTGCCTGTGTCCTTAGACCAACACAGCTACAACCTGTACCCCTAGAAAGATATATGATTTTCTGTTTGCTTATAGTCTAATTCCATTATGTTTGCAGGATATCATTAGTGCTGAATTCATTCATAAGCTTGAATCCCTTCTTCAAAGAGCTTATCGTCTCCAGGAGGAGTTTGAAGCCACCCTTGGTGCTTCTGATCCTGCTTCCCTAGCTAATGATATTGGTAAGTTCTCTTACTTTTACATTTTTATCTTTCTCAGTAGGATCATCATTAGTGCCCCCCCCCCAACATTGCATATGCCAAACAGTAAGTACATCTTCCGCACAGCAGAGTTGAGCTTTATTTTGCCAACTGACCTTTTTTATTGAGTCAGTTTCCAAATTTTACACACACTTATAAATCAGAATTGGCTTGAAGGATTACTTTTTGCATATACGTGTGTGTATCTTTTTCAGGATTTATCTTAACTCAGTATGTATGGTAATGATATGTATATAATAAGAATAAGAACATTGTAATATTTGGAATAACCAGTTGAATGTCTTGGTTCAAAATTCTTTTATCACTCAGCTCTCTAAACTGCTGATGACAGTGGCTGAAATGTCACAAAGAAGTAGATGAGGGAATGGGGAAAATTGGAGGGCTGTGACAAATAGTTGTGCATAGATCTGCAAGAGAGAGAGATGAGATCTGGCAGTTGCCTGTAGGTAAATTGGTCCATAGTTATTAGTGAATTCCACTAAATTATCTGTTGGGTTAGTTTCCCCTTTTTTGTGGTCTCATAACATTCTATTGTCAATGATTGAAAGAACAGTAGGAAAGTATTTCTGTTTCAATTGTCAAATACTTTATTTTTCTTTTATTCTTTTTCTTCTTCCTTCAGCTGTTTAACTCCTTTTTCTTACCTTCCTGTACCTGCATTAATATAAACACCAAAAAATTAAGTCAGGATTCAGAGCATAACAATCGCGAGTTGAATTTTTTCCTTAAATAATATTTTTTTGGTTTACAAATTTAAAAGCTAATGAACAGTGCCCACAGCCAATAAGCGTGACACCTGCACCATAGTAGAGAGCTCCAAGGTTTTCCTTTACTCCTTCCTTAATGCGGGTGTTGCAGCAGCGGAGAAGACAGGTTAGAAGAGAACAGAGCTGGGCTTTCCCCCTCCTATGTAAAAAACAAACAAACAAACACAAACAAACAAAAAAAGCCTGGCAGCTTCTCTTGGCTCCTGAAAGAGTGGTAGGAGAGCAGTTGCTCTGATTTAGATGTTCTCCCCAGGAAGTAGATAAGGCTATTAACCATCTCCACCCCCTACTCCCCACCTCCCAAAAAACAACCACCAAAAACGAACAAACCCACCCCCCACAAAAATACTAGTTGCTCATTGTTTCTGTTGGGGGAGAAATACATATGTATTTTGTGCATATGTGCGCACATACAGTCTAAGTGAAAAGAACAGTATTAAAATTGCAGTCATCTACTTATGTTAAAGTCTTGTGGAAAGTATTGTGTAGAAGTATTTCTGCCCTTTCCATTCTAGCCTCTCTGTCTGTTCCTCAGACTTCGTACCTTAATGAGTCTTTGTCCAGCCATTTTCAGGCTCCTTGTCCAGTCTTTTATACCAATCCTCCCCAGCGTTCACTTCTCCTGGTTCCTAGTTCGAGTCCTCTCGTCCTGATTTCTTAATTGAATCTGCAGTCTTACCTAGATAATGCCAGTTTTCCTCCTCTTTCCATAACACATCCTGGCACCTTACCAGCTTCTCCTGTGCTGCTGCTGCTTGGCTGTCAATGAGAGGGAAATAAAGAATGTAGGAAAGACTTTCTTTGCTTTTTGCATTTGGTGCCTCTTAAACACACCAAACATATATTTTCAAACAATAGTTTGCTCAGCTCTGGCTTAGAGCATGCCCAGTGTTGGTAGAATTTTAAGTATATTTAGCAGCTAAGTTCTGCCAAGTGTGAGTCTTAACTTGGCCAAATTTGGGAAGACTGAGAAAAGGCAAACAATAAAACATACCTGGCACAGAGACTCACTTCCTGCTGAGGCCAGGAGCAGACATTACATTTTTATCAGTATAAATGATTGAAAACTGGTCTGTACCTGTAACAGAATAGAAGTTTGGTGGATAGACTGGTTTAAAAAGGCACCCCCCCAGGGAATGTGTGTTCTGCTTGCGACCAATCTAAACTATGCTGATTGCACAAAATGGTATAACTTTAAACTGATTCTGGCTTGGGGTTTTTGAATGTCTGTACCTGGCCTGAATGTATAGCCCCTGCTTCTACACACGGGGGTGCTAGAGTTTTTTAAAGCAAACTTGAAAATAGTCAGGTTTGTAAAATGGGCAAAATCTGTCTGGTTCTTTCTTCCCGTTGCCTTCCTGGCCCTGTTTTCAGGAATTGCTGAATTGTTTTAAAGTTCACCTTTACCCTAGGAAAAACACAGATCATAGGCTGAGATTTTTAAGTGGTTGAAGTTACAAGCAATTAAACATAAGATCTTAAATGGCAACTGTTGGACATACTTCTTAATGGAGGTGGTCCATAATACACAATTTAATTAAAAAAAAAAAATTCCTAAAATGTGAAATGTCAGGTGTTCTTAAAAGTACAGCAACTAAGCCATTTTAAAATTTAACTACAGTGGTCAGTTGTCACTGACCTAAGTGCAAAACATTGGGATCAGTTCTTTATGGCCTTAAGTTTAAATTTTGAATGTCACTAGGGGGCAGCAGTCTGCATTTCTTGAGCTTTATGATATTCTATAACCCCTAAATAAAGCTCTTAGCAACATGGGAGTTAAATTTAGGTCAAAGGCTGATTCCTGGCATGTTTCTCTACACCTGTTCCTGTAATTCATAAAGCAAAAAAAGGGTTTGGATATATACACAGAGACCTGAAATGACGGTAGTATAAATGTCCAGTGGCACATGAGGTGCCAGTGAACGTCAGCTGTTGAATGTCAGTTTACTTGTAATTTCCATTTTCTCAACGGGGGAAAAAAGTTAATAAGTTTTTAAACCTTGCCCATGAAGTAGAAATCTAAGGGCAGAATATGTCAATGTGTTTTAATTATTGTGATTAAGCAACAAAGATTTCCTTTTTAAGATGAATTTTAAGCTGATATTCCATTATTATATGTGACTATGGCATTACTTGTTTAGTAAGAATATGTTCTAAAGTAATTGCATTCTTTTCAGTGTTCATTCTCTGGGATGAGTTTTGTAGCTCCCCTGGGGAAGAGCTTGTCAATTGTCTGACCCAAATTATTATTATCAGAAAACATTTTTGAAGTGGGATATGGTTATTTTCTGTACTGTGTGAACTTTTGAAGTATAAAAACACTAAATAGGATAAACATTTAGTGTTTGAGAAAAATGGATCTTTTAAAATTATCATCTCATCATTTTTATTACTACTTTCTGGGGGGAGGAGAGTTAAGGAAACGTATAAGAGAATGGAGAAGGTTAAAGGCTCTTAAAATCATAGAAGTGCAGGGCTGGAAGGGAACTCACAAGGTGATCTAACCAGCCCCCTGCTGAAGGCAGGATCATCCCTGACTAAATCATCACAGCCAAGTGTCTGTCCTGTCTGCTCTTGGAAATGTCCAGGGATGGAAACTTCCTAACTTCTCCAGGTAGCCTGTTCCAATGCTTGATCACGCTCACAGTCAAAGTTTTTCTTAATCTCCAACCTAAATTTCTTCTGCAGCAGCCTTTGTTCCTAATTCTGTCTCTTATAGACATAGAGAAAAAATCCTTTCTGTAATTGCCCTTCAGGTATTTGAAGACTATTTTCAGATCGCCCACTCCATCTTCTCTTCCAGGCAGGGCCATCCCTAGGTGGCGGGAGACCGCCCCAGGCCCTGTGCTTTGGGGGGTGCCCCACAGAGTTGGGCTGGGTGACTCTGCTCTGCTGCCGCAAGCTTCACATGCGGCTGCTTGCTACCCCCTGCTCCCCTGCTGCCAGCACTTGGTGCCGGCAGTTTCTTCGCATCCAGGGCATGTGGGATTGGGGCTGGGGCAGGGCCCCGCACAACCTGATTTGCTCCAGTCCCCGCGCCCTGCTCAGGTTGGCTCCGCTTCCAGGCTAAATAATCCTAATTCTTTCCTCACAACTCACGCTTTTTCAGGCCTCTAATCATTTTTGTTGCTCTGTACTGGACTCTTTCTGATCTGTCCACATCATTCTTGAAATGTGGGGCCCAAAACTGGACACAGTACTCCAGGAGGGCCTTGCCACTGCCAGGTAAGAGTGGAAGAACCACTTTCATTTATCTGCAAGTGACACTTCTTTTAATACAACCCAGTATGCTGTTGCCTATTTTTTGGTTTTTTTTTTTTGTTTTTTTTTTTGAAGAGCACGCTGGTGCCTCACATTTAGTTTATAGTTCATTGTAACCCCCAGGTCTTAGTATGGAGACTAACTAGTCACTTCCCAGACTGCCTTTGCGCATGCAATTGTTGAATTCCAAGTGGAAGACTTTGCACTTGCCCTTTGTTGAATTTAATTTGGTTGAATGTAGACCATTTTCCCAGTCTATCCAGGTCATTCTGGATCCTGGTCCTACCTTCCAGAGTGTTTGGAACTCCCCCCAACTTGGTGTCATTCACAAATTTGCTAACTGCACATGTAATCCCATCATCCAAATTAGTATGTTTTATACAGGTACCAATTCTTGTTGTCTGTTTTGGGGAATCTGACCTTGATAAACCTAGTGAGATATCTCTGGGTGCCCTTGATTCTTGTTTCGTTTGTTTTTAGAGCTTTCATTTTTAAAAAGTATGTGCTGCCCAAAAATATGTAAATGTACACATTTCTGATCCATTTCTGGGTAGTATTTTTCCCTGTGAATTGCCTTTTAAAAAATGTTTGAAGCACAAAACCTTATTTCTCAAATTTTGTACCATCATGTAGTCTTCTAATTGGGCTTGTGCACCATATTTATGACTTCCTTGGTTTTTTGTTTTAGATAAACTGTGGTTTTCTGTGGCCTTAAGAGTAATGAGGACGGGAAAAGGCACTGATATTTCAAAGATTCCTTTGGTCAATAACATTAATGATAGGTACTTCTTGTTCCCAATATGTTTTTAAAAATACCTGGGGTCAGGTGTGGTTCCACTGTTCGATGCATGTGGTAAAGTTGTAAATAGTAATGTAGACAAAGCAGGAGTGTTCAGTGCCTATCTCTTGCATATTTGAAAGGAAGCAGGGAGA